AAACGTATAGAAAGCTAAAAGACTCTCTTCACAAAGTCGGGTTTAACATGCGTAAATGGGTTACAAATAACAAGGAATTAAAAGAAAGAATTAAAAAACACGAGGCCTTGTACACCCCCGTTTCAGAAAACGCTAATGTGCTGGAAGATCCCAATCACGAACAACCAGATACAAAGGTATTGGGAATTGGTTGGAATCTAATTACAGATTCGTTGAAACTTGACTTTGAAAAAATTGTAAGAGATACATCGATTACTATGGTTACAAAAAGGTCAATTCTGTGCACTACAGCCAAATTCTATGATCCATTAGGATTGATATCGCCAGTAATCCTGCCTTTAAAATGCCTCTTTCAAGAGTTGTGTAAGATAAAAGAAAACTGGGACTCTCCAGTGCATGATAAAATTGCACAGAAATTTCGTGACATCATTCTCGACATAAGATCGGTTTCGAAAATCGAATTACCTCGTTCCGTGATGCATGAGGTCGAGGTTTCAGACATAAAATCAGTTCAATTGCATGGTTTTTCGGACGCAAGTACAGTAGCATACGCAGCAAGCGTTTACTTAAGAGTTGAAACGTCATCAAGAGTTGTATCTCATTTAATTGCGTCGAAAACGCGCGTAAGTCCCTTGAAATCGGAATCAGTTCCACGTTTGGAACTTATGGGGGCATTAATTCTTGCCAGACTTATGAAAACGGTATCGGACGCGTTGAGCGCTACATTGAACATTGACCAAACATTTTGTTGGTCAGACTCGCAAATTGTCATCTGGTGGATATTCGGAGAAAACAAAACATTTAAGCAGTACGTACAAAATCGCATTAAGGTGGTCCTCGACCCTGAAGATGATTTTAGCTATGTTTTTGAAAATCATTGAATATTTTTTAAGTCTATTGTTCAAATCACACCAAATTTTCACACAAACAACAATAGCAATTACTGCAGATTTTTTCATAACAATAAGATGATCACGTGGCTATGGTGTATTTTACAGACCAGGAAACCTGGACCATAAAAAATGCTTGAGAAACGATTTTAGAGAAGTGTAAGCTTACATTAAGATAATATCTATTTCAAATTACTAAACATAAAGAAAGCATTGAAATGAGTTGAGAAAATTATTGTCATAGCAACCGTTGCTATGGAAACTGGAAAAACCATTTTTCTTGGATAACTATCAACAGAGTAGACAGATTAAAATTTTGTCAACTCATATCAAAGACACCATAAGTACAATTCCTCCTACCAAATTTGATTGAATAATATTGCATGCTTCTTTTTTTATCCTTTCTTAAAGTATTAAAATGCGCATTTGAGAAAACGAGCTTTAAAGTTCTGGTTGCGTATATTTACAAACTCGACATCAAAGCTTCAAAATAATTAACCAAAAGAGGTTAAATTTGGGTCTTAATGGTCCATGACCAATTGGTTTTAGATTATTCCCTTATATAATTAGGAAATAAAGTATTTCCAAAAGGTACCTGTACATAAGGTTATATGAATTGTCTTTTTAGTTATTGAATTTTTCTTCTTTTTGCTGATTTCTCAACATAAACCATTTCAAGGCTCTTTTCATCAATAAACACTACATCCATGTTATCCTTGTCATCAACTTTGCATAGGTCTTTGTCTGGCACTTAATGGATAGAAAAACCTCCAGAGGCATAAGCTGCTCCTGCTTTTGTATTTTGTTTTCTCATCTTCCTTAAAATTTGCCGTCTTCTCTGATAATCTGTTTTGCATTTGGCCTCCGCTTTCTTTACCCTTTTCTCATTTGCAGATTTGTAACCTTTGATGGTGTTTGATCCCAAAGACAAAACACCTAGTCTTTTCAGCACATTCCCAGCACTGCCTGCTCCTGCATTCCATTGCAAAACAGATGACGCAACACAACATTCCAAGCGCTGCTTACCACAGAAGACTCGTTTGGGGCATTTTGACCAAAGGAAATTGTTGAGGGCTTCATTTTGATTCTGTGTGAGACCTTTTTGACATCTGCTCAGGAGTTCATCACCAGATAGCCTTTCAAATATAGGTTTTAACTCCTTCCTGAAAACTGATGGCAAGCACTTTCTCTGATCATAGGTTGCTGTATGGGAAGCTCTGTCTCTCTGGAACCTACATCATGAATTCTCTCCTTCAGGACAAAACTGATGTTGAACCTCATCCGGCTCATTTTCACCTTGAATGCAATGATAAAATATTGCCCAAATTGCTTTTTTCATCCCCTCAATATTATTAGTGTGATTTCGAATGGCATAACCATAATAATTTTGCAGTGAGTCTATTATTGCATCAGTTAGTCTACCACGTCCTCCAATCGTTCCACCATCTGCTAACTTTCTACCTTTGTTTTTGTTTTTAAAATTGCGCAAATTAGAGCCCATTCACTTTTGGATATGCCCTATACAATCCTCTTTCAAAACCAAGTATCCATCTCCAAATTTTTTGAAACAGGCATCTGCAACTTCAGCAAATGATGATGAATCACCATCACCAACATAAGTTGTATATACAAGCTGATGTTTCTCCATTGATCTTAGAAACATTTTTACAGCAGCCTCTTTTTCCATTGCCTCTGAGGAGCCTTTGTGGTTAACTTCACAATGCTCTTCATGATTAGAATACCAATTCTTGTACTTTTCTGACTCTTTTTCCCACTTCTCTCTAAATTTACACTCAAAACAAATTTTGGACTGTACTTCATAATCCAATACTTCACCAGTCTCAACTGATAAAATAAACACAACACCAAGCAAAGAACTATAGCCATAACGTTTTTGCCATGTACCATCTACTGACACACTAACAGGGACATATGAAGAAACAACTTCATCATTAATGTCAGTGTTTATTTGCATAAGGTCTTTTAAATTTTTTGCTGCTTTACAAAGAGACTCTTGGGCTTCCTTCTGGTATGATGTGGTGATTTTTTTCAGGATTGCACTGAAGGCATTTGTTGTAACTGGTGGAGGGACATCTAATGCACAACATATTTTTGACAAACCTGCCAATCCATTTCCACTTTCCACACCTCCCTGCGTAAGACGTATGTTTATTTCTGAAACATCCATTTTATCATTGTTTACGAAAGGGCTGGTGCTGAAAGAATCTGTTTCTTTGTCACAATTGCTACATTTCCAGAATAAAACCTCATGAAGACCTCTTCTTTTAGAATTGTCTTGCCATAGCTGCAAGGTTCCTTTTGGGTCCTTACAGAGACGGCAGACGGCTGCTTTACTCAAACTGGTTAGCAGATTGCTAGTGTTCATCACCTTGAAGCCATGTGCAAGTTCTCTTCCACTAGCTAGGCCAAGTGAGTCTTTACTGTACAAATCCAGACATTTCCTTCTTTCATTTATGTACTCAGACTGTTCTTCGGCAAATAAAGGACAATTCCTTTTCAATTTTTCTAATGATTTGTTGATCAATTTCCCAGATGGACTCTTGAAATTTTTTGGAATCGCGGAGGGGGGAGATGGGCCTGGTTCTTGTGATAGTACCACATCTTCGTCGTCATCAACTGTAGCGCTATCGTTTCTGGAAGCCTCTTGTTCTACAAATTGTTTTTGCACTCCGTAAAAACCACGTTTTCTCTTTTGACGGTAAAGGCTTCTTTGCTTTCGTCCAGGCATTCTAACTCTGACAAACGTAAAACAGTATTTCGAGGTGCACCGTGGTGAAAATTTACAGAATATACTTCATGTAAAGCACACTAAAACAAATTCAACTCAATAAAAAAATTGTAATCGTGTTCTAAGGTAGATTTCGTCTTACCTGTGGCCAAAAAAGGGTAAAAAAGATTTGAGAAGTTACCCTAGCAACCAGCTTTTCTCGTTGCTAAGAAGAATATTTGTGACTGCTCTTTGAAAAACCTTGATTTATGACCCGTTTTCGGTCCGTATGTGCACAGGGGCATTTAACAAAGAAAGAACAACACCTAAGGCATTATAAAATTGAAAAAAGCAAAAAAGTTGGAAAAAATTTTTTGATGATGAAATCTAGGGTCGAGGACCACCTTAATGAAATTCGCCAGCTTGCGCCAAAAAACTATTGGAGATACTGTCCCAGCGATCAAAATCCGAGTGATATTGCATCTCGTGGTATCAAGTGTACAAAAATTGTTGAAAATGAACTTTGGTGGTTAGGGCCTAAATTTTTAAGGAGTTCAGAGGCCACGTGGCCAAACGTGTTGAGTTACGATATTGCAAAAAAAGGCATGAGTAACGAGTTAAATGAATTAAAGGGGACAAATAAAGAAAGCGTGATGGCTTTATTGGTTTATACTAAAAGTAAACCTTCATTGAAATTACAGGATTTGATTCAGTGCGAGCGGTACAGTAGTTTACAACGTCTCCTTCGTGTTACTGCATATATTCTCAGGTTCATAAAGAATTTAAAATCCAAATTGAATCAAGACTCAATTGAAACGAAGCAAATGTTGTCTCTGGATGAAATCGAGAAAGCTCGTGAGCTTTGGATTAACGAGGTTCAAAGTTACATTCCTCAAGAAACGGATTTTGAGAAATCGAGCAACTTGCTTGGATTATTTTATGACGATAAAGGCATAATTCGGTGTAAGGGACGAATCGAAAACGCGGATCTTCCGTATGAAACGAGATTTCCAATATTGTTGCCTCGTAAGCATCATTTCACGGATTTGGTTATTTGGGAATCCCATATAATTGTCAAACATAACGGGCTACGTGAGACCCTAAATGAAGTACGAGCGTCGTTTTGGATCATTAAGGGCCGACAGAAGGTGAAGAAAATAATTTCGAAGTGTGTACATTGTAAAAAGATAGAAGGTCGAGCGTACGGTACACAAGTGGCACCGGCACTGCCAGAGTTTCGAGTTTCAGACACTTATGCGTTTTCAAAAATTGGAGTCGATTTTGCCGGACCGCTTTACGTCAAAGACATCTATGCTAAGGACACAAATATGAATAAATGCTATATTGCTCTATTTACTTGTGCAAATAGTCGCGCGGTACATCTCGAGCTTGTACCTGATCTCGAAGGAGAATCGTTTATACGTTGTTTAAAGCGTCTTATTGGTCGCCGAGGGATACCTTCTCTTATCGTATCTGATAACGGGAAAACATTCAAGGATGCGAAAGTTCACAGCTTTATTCATAGCAGACGTGTTCAGTTTGAATGGAAGTTTAACGTTCCCCTGGCCAGTTGGTGGGGTGGTTTTTTTGAAATATGTGTGCGTCTGGTCAAAAGATGTCTCAAGAAATCTTTGGGTAACGCGAAATTAACTTATGAGGAACTGGAAACAGAACTTATTGAAATTGAAGGAGTTCTCAATTCTCGTCCGTTAACCTATGTGTATAATGAATTGGGTGAAGTCCCATTAACACCAGCTCATCTTTTCATGGGACGAAGACTTCTCGATCGAACATCGTGCGGGGAAGAAGAAACGGGCTCAGAAGTTTTGAAGCTGAGTAAACGTTCCAGGTACTTAGCGTCAGTCATAGATAAATTTCGAAAATCTTGGAAAAGAGAATATCTCACGTCATTACGTGAGTTTCATAATTGCGGAAAACAGACAACTTTGGGTATCAACATTGGTGATATCGTATACGTACACGAAAGTAAATTACCACGCCAACGTTGGCGAATGGCGAAAGTAACAAAATTACTACCGGGAAAGGACGGTGTCGTTCGTGCAGTAGAGTTACTTACAAGTAACAGTGCAAAGAAGCATATAACAATAAAACGTCCTATACAAAAGTTATATCCGATCGAGATTCGTAGTTCATCAGAAGTGACTGAACAAGATTCCGAAGAACCTCAAATTACTATCGTTCGTGATCAAGACGTACCAGAGATCATTGTAAATAAAACTTGTTGAACATTGCTTAACTTGCTTATCTTTTCAGTTTAGTTAGTACCCTTTCTTCTTATTTTGTGGGGGGGGGGAGGGTGTTGTAATTAGCGTACGTCACGTGACATTATTTTATTTCTAGAGTTTTGTTTGGGAGTTGTTGAGCGGAGTTGTGGAGTTATGTTGCGAAAAAGAGTTATGTTACGTTGAAGAGTTATGGAGTTCAAATTATGAACTAAGTTTAATGTACGAAAGTTATTATAGAGTTTCGTTTGCGTTGTATATATTATTCTTTTGTAAATAGCCTTTTTGAGGTGAGAAAATTATTGGAGTCAAGTTTGGAATTGGGTTGTAATTCGTTATGTGTTATCTGCTTGGATTCCACGAACCAGGGTGACGAAACACAGGTTTAAATATTAAAAACAACCCAGATTCAATTTCAAATCAAGATGTTAGCTCCGAAGTCAAGTGGTTTTTATTGAGGTGACCGCTGTAATATTTGTATCAAAGTCCATATCAATCTCCTCTATATTGAAATGAGGCTAAATAAAGATGTTGTTTTAATTTAACCGTTGGAGTACGAAGGATAAAGCCTAGGTGAGTTTACTTCACTCCTCCCTTGCTGGAGGCTATTTGCTTGTTGGAGAAAAGACACAATGCTCATTGCTGAAAAACATAATTTCGATTGGACAGAAAATTTGCTTAATTTTGTTGGCCAAGGAGGGGCCTCAGGATGGCCGACTTTTCATAGAGCTTGGCTTGTGAATAGTAATTTCAATATGAAGACATGTGTTAATGATTATAGAAATTCTTCATTTTACAAAGAATACCTTCCACAACAGTGTTTTTCAGTTTGAAAAGTCTGTCTATTCATTTTGTGCATAAAATGTGCACATGGAAGTGATCATTAGCAACATGGCGAATATCTACTCCAGTAAATCCTGCCTTTTTAATCATATCGGTTGCAAGTTCCTTGCCCCAACATGTCCCAAGACCTTTTCCACCTTCAAAGTACAAACTAACTGGCATGCAATGAAAAAGACTGACAACGTATTTCAAACACGATAACGGCTGGCCGATATTGTCAGCAACATTACTGTGGGAATTGATATCAACAAGAGAAAATATGCCTTCTTTTTTCAAAACTTTGCATGTTTCAGCCAGAACTTTATCTGGATGTGCCTGATCATGGATAGAGTCAAAGGCAGTGACGTAATCAAAATCTTCTTGGTATTCCAAGTCTAGATTGGCACAATCTTGTACTTTGAAGTGGGCGTTGACTAAACCCTGCCTTTCAGCCTCTTCTTTCGCTTTTGTTATGGCTTCTTCTGAAATGTCAAAACCATAAAACTCGCTTCTGGGAAATTTAGCCGCCATTATTAATCCTGGTGATCCTGAACCACAACCGATGTCGAGAACTTTGATGCCAGATTCGAGTTTCTCCTTGAGACCTGTTGAAGAAATCGAAAATGCATAGAGTTCGTTATAACTACAATTTTTTCAAAGAGCATATTCACATTCCATAAGTCTTTTGATCTTGTGTGTACTTTCAAGCAGACTGAAATATTTGAAGTAATGAATACATTGCATTTTGGGCAGCACCTTGAACTTCAAAGTTGAGGCGTAACAAAGTATAGAATGTGTAAAGTTATCAACTAAAAATAATAACTATTTTCCATTACCCCTGTCCCTGCCCCCTTGGAGGGGGGAGGTGGCTTCTGTGCCAGGTAGTATAAATTAAATCAATAAATCAAAGGTTTTTTGGCATGGTTATTTAACTGAAAACAATTTCTACCCTGCACATGTTAAAAATCTGTAATATAGATCAATAAGACATCAAACATGATCGCACCTTCGATGCTAGGAATGAATACATCAACTAGATTAGCCTTGTGGTTCCGAGTCGAAAACTCGTTCATCCATCTATGAAATTCTTTGTAGGAACTGTAAGGAATACCCCCTCCATTTCTGAAACATGCATTCAGTTCTTGGGAGCGCTCGCTAAACATCAGCAGTATTGTGGAGAACATTGTCATACTTCCACCTTTCAAGAGGGGGATGTAGCTGCGAGGGAGGAAATACGTATTATCGTCTCTGTTGTAGTGAACTATCTTGCCAGTAACAAGCGCAGCCAACCATTCTCGAACGTACCTGCAGAAGAGATTCTAATAAGATATCTGTGACAGGAAAACAGGTTTTCAGAGAATGTAAGTGAGTGACATGAGAAGAGCAGGACTCGCGCAGCACCAGCTCAGGGATGGCTGACCAGAGGGGTATCCGGAAGCGATCTCAAGACCCCCCCCCCCCCAGACCCTAGAGCAGAAACTAAACGCTATTACATAAATTCATCTATTATGTTACCGCTTTGTCCTCTATTTGAGAGTTTCCCCATACCGTACCGCTTGTGGTTTTCTTGAGGAAAATATAATGGGTTTGTGTGTATGTGGAGAGGTTACGACCTTGAAAGCTTTTCGATGATTCGTTCGGTAAGCAAGTACAAGCCTAGCGATTGGTTAGGTCGATTCTTGTTTTGACCACTAAGGTCAAATTCGACACACAGAGGGTTGAAATAGGTTTAAACGGATTTGTTATATCATATTAATCTATTCAGGGAAGTGGAGGGGAACGCTAATGGAGTCCTGTACAGGTTAGTTAACGGCATCACTGCAATTACCTGTACTGCCAAAAATATAAAGGTCAACAATATTATATTTGTTATATCATATTAATCTATTCAGGGAAGTGGAGGGGAACGCTAATGGAGTCCTGTACAGGTTAGTTAACGGCATCACTGCAATTACGTGTATTGCCAAAAATATAAAGGTCAACAATATAAAACAATATAAAGGTTGTCTTTTTCGCTCAAGATATTCAGTAAAATCAAAAGTCAACTGTCGATGAAACTCAAGTCTGTAATTATTCTTGATTTTTTCCTTAAAAATTTCAACAATTTTAAGCCCTAGCAATGTTTAAGAAACTGTGCATTTTACCGGCAATGTCTCAATATAGCAAACGATCTTTCATATAAACGGAATTTCTATATATAAATATCGGAAACGGAGGGGTTTTATAGGCAAATACAACCAGATTACTTTAGGGTTAGGGGGAAATTAGTGAACTATTTATTGAAATAGCAACGATAATTACATGATATCTATTCAAATCACATCACACGTCATTCGTGACATGGTGAGTAGTATATTTTTGCAATTTAGTAACAGCTCCAAAATGAGGCAAATGCGGAAACTGGCCTCTGGTGAATCATTGTTCCTAGGCAGTGTTCCTAGGTCATTGTTCGTAGTTTGTTGATCGATAGATTGTTATAGTTTATATAACGAAGATAAAATCATGGTATCACTGACAGTTTCGTTTGGTGGAGATGAATCTGTGTAGGATGAATTTCATTGTATCACATTACTGGCACCAGCTTAAGGTTCAAATTTGCAAGTTACCTCTCAATTAGGCCCGACTTTTTGGCGATGAATTCGGATGTTTCTGGTTTCTCCAGTTGGGCCATTACGCTAAAAATGCCCAGTTCACTTCCTACAGCAATGGCCATCGAAACGGATGCATTATCTATTAGTCGGCTGATTTTTTCTGCAAACTTTTCAGGAGGAAGTTCTTCATTTACCATTGCTTGGTTGCTTGCCATTGTACTGGAAGAATACCGGAGGAATTCTGCTTTGGTGGACGTGTCAATAGCATGCTTACCTACGACCTGCAGCTTGTAAACAGTACAATGAAGCAGAACAATAAGGCAAAGCATTATCCAGGGAAGACAAAAAGTTGTAGGATATCATATTATTATAGGGTATTATAGCCACCCAGAGCTATTATTAAAATATGGAATTGGGACTATCATGGAACTAGGAATACAGTCGAACAACTAATAGCAGCAACTATTAGCTCAAAAGTCAATACGGCATGGATATACGGCATACTCATTGCTAAAAAAAACAGAAAATTTGCTCAATTTCACTAAGTAGTCATGGCAAACGAAGTTGCCCAAATAACCACGGAGAAGCCTTGGTAAGACCGTTTTCTCATAGAGCTTGGCTTGTGACTGGTAACAAGGCCCAGTGGCGCAGCTATAGGGGGTATGGGGGAATTACCCCCTCCCTAGTTTTTCAAAAACATGGTCCATATAAAATTTCTAGAAATTGACTGAAAAGCGTAGGGAGGGGTAAATCATATTCCCCCACGTGGAAAATTCACCTGATACAAAGCACTGGAAAGAGGCAAAATATGGGCGTAGTCTCGCTTGTAACGCACATTACCCTCTCACTCTGCAGTAACTGGCGCTGACTAGGCTTCGCTTAACCCCGATGTGGCCACCCAACTCAAACCAGCAGTAAGAGATTTGACTATCGCTTCTGCCAGAATCTCTATGCTGCTATCTAACAGATGCACGATTCAGAATTGTTGTGAATTGAAAAATCAAGATAGATCAACAAGTCATAACCAATTCGTAGAAAATCATTTCAATATGAAGACATGTGTTAATGATTATAGAAATTCTTCATTTTACAAAGAATACCTTCCACAACAGTGTTTTTCAGTTTGAAAAGTCTATCCATTCATTTTGTGCATAAAATGTGCACATTGAAGTGATCATTAGCAACATGGCGAATATCTACTCCAATAAATCCTGCTTTTTTAACCATATCGGTTGCAAGTTCCTTGCCCCAACATGTCCCAAGACCTTTTCCACCTTCAAAGTACAAACTAACTGGCATGCAATGAAAAAGACTGACAACGTATTTCAAACACGATAACGGCTGGCCGATATTGTCAGCAACATTACTGTGGGAATTGATATCAACAAGAGAAAATGTGCCTCCTTTTTTCAAAACTTTGCATGTTTCAGCCAGAACTTTATCTGGATGTGCCTGATCATGGATAGAGTCAAAGGCAGTGACGTAATCAAAATATTCTTGGTATTCCAAGTCTAGATTGGCACAATCTTGTACTTTGAAGTGGGCGTTGACTAAACCCCGCCTTTCAGCCTCTTCTTTTGCTTTTGTTATGGCTTCTTCTGAAATGTCGAAACCATAAAACTCGCTTTTGGGAAATTTAGCCGCCATTATCAAGCCCGGTGATCCTGAACCACAACCGACGTCGAGAACCTTGATGCCAGATTCGAGTTTTTCCTTGAGACCTGTTGAAGAAATCGAAAATGCATAGAGTTCCTTACGACTACCATTTTTTCAAAGAGCACTTTAACATTCCATAAGTTTTCGAGCTTGTGTATACTTTCAAGCAGACTGAAACATTTGAAGTAATGAATAGATTGCATTTTGGGCAGCACCTTGAACTTCAAAGTTGAGGCGTCACAAAGTATAGAATGTGTAAAGTTATCAACTGAAAAAATAACTATTTCCCTATACCCCTGTCCCTGCCCACCTTTGGCACAGTCACTCCTGGGGGGGGGGGGTGGCTTTTGTGCAAGGTAGTATAAATTAAATCATTAAATTGAAAGTTTTTTGGCATGGTTGTTTAACTGAAAACAATTTCTACCCTGCACATGTTAAAAATCTGTAATATAGATCAATAAGACTTCAAACATGATCGCACCTTCGATGCTTGGAATGAATACATCAACTAGATTAGCCTTGTGGTTCCGAGTCGAAAACTCGTTCATCCATCTATGAAATTCTTTGTAAGAACTGTAAGGAATACCCCCTCCATTTCTGAAACACGCATGGAGTTCTTGGGAGCGCTCGCTAAACATCAGCAGCATTGTGGAGAACAAGGTCATACTTCCACCTTTCAAGAGGGGGATGTAGCTGCGAGGGAGGAAATACGTATTATCGTCTCTGTTGTAGTGAACGATCTTGCCAGTAACAAGCGCAGCCAACCATTCTCGAACGTACCTGCAGAAGAGATTCTAATAAGATATCTGTGACAGGAAAACAGGATTTGAGAGAATGTAAGTGAGTGACATGAGAAGAGCAGGACTCTAGCAGCACCAGGTCAGGGACGGCTGACCAGATGGGATATCCGGCAGCGATCTAAAGACCCCCCCCCAGACCCTAGAGCAGAAGCTAAACGCTATTACATAAATTCATCTATTATATTACTGCTTTGTCCACTATTTGAGGGTTTCCCCAGACCGCACCGCTTGTGGTTTTCTTGAGGAAACTATAATGGGTTTGTGTGTATGTGGAGGGGTTACGACCTTGAAAGCTTTTCGATGATTCGTTCGGTAAGCCAGTACTAGCCTAGCGATTGGTTAGGTCGATTCTTGTTTTGACCACTAAGGTCAAATTCGACACACCGAGGGTTGGAATAGGTTTAAACGGATTTGGTATATTACATTAATCTATTCAGGGAAGTGGAGGGGAACGCTAATGGAGTCCTCTACAGGTAAAGGTCAACAAATAATATAGCAAAAGAAAAAAGGTTAGACGGTTATCGGAACAATAGGGCGCGGTTAGACGGGTATCGGAGCAAAAGTGCGGGGCTAGATGGATATCGGATCAACTCTATGGGGCAAAGTTGCATGTGCCCCAAATAATTATTTAAAGGATTGCTAGTACCCCCGTTAAAACGATTAAAAGCCGTTATAAGAATATTTAATGTACTTTGGTATTAAATTACAATCTATACTGAGACATTATTCTGCTGAATCTAACGTTTGTACATTTGTGACACCGAGGGTTGGCACCGTATGGCACCGAGGGTTGCATGCTCAAACTCTTGTAATAAAATCGAAACGAAATGTTCAATGAAGATTTACATACAGTTGTTCGTCTTTGAAAGACGGAATCTAATCAAAAGCTCAAATTACCTTTCAACTAGGCCGGTCTTGCTAGCTATAGTTGCAGATGTTTCTGGCTTCTCCTGCTCAGCCATGACATCAAAAATACCGAGTGAGTTTCCCACTCCTAAGGCCATTGAGACAGCTGCATCGTCGACAAGACTTGACAACTTTTCTGCAAACTTTTCAGTGGATAGTTCTTCTTGCGTAGGTTGACCTATGTTCGCCATCTTGCAGGTAAATGAAACAATGTATCGAACAATTGTGGTCTTTGAACCAACTACCAGCCAACCAGTAACAAGCTAACATCTGTTGTACGAAACTGGGAGGCGAGCTGAAAATTGTCTAGTGTTATGGTTTCTTATTACATAAAGACTTTTTGCGTTAAGCGTGAATTGAATAGCGATACATTGGAATTGTGTGCAGTTCGAACCCCCTTCTGTTGTTTGGACAATATTAATTTTGTTGCTCTTTATACAAATCGGAGCGTGGAGGCGCACCCTGGAGGACAGCAAAACATGTTGTTTGCTTCGTGTTGTTTTCGTTTAATTTATTTTTTTGGGTATTTGCGATAGGCTGGACGTGATATTTTCGAAATATAATAAAGGACATTAATGGACAATATTTCGATAACCTGTTTACTACCAATTTACTTACTCTATTTACCTACTCAAAAGGAAGAGTTTGGAGTACATGAGTTGTTTCTTTCTAGTTGTCCTATCGTCACGTATATGTACGTTTACTGAGGGAACGAGCTCCCTCATCTAGGGTTTTTGGACCATCTTTCGGTTTTTCTATTAAGTCTTGAAAGCAATATTCTTTTTGAAAATTTCTTTGTAAAAAAGAAAACATTTCATAACATACCAAATTCTTTTTCGTCTGAAACTCCTCAGAGTACAACACTTTGAGTTATACTCTGAGAATAACAATTTTATACTCGGAGGAGTGTGAGACGAAAATGCTTGTAGTATGTTCTAAAACTTTTGTTTTTAAATTTTGTATCCTCAAAAAATTGTCAAATACTCTTTTTGTATGAACAATGATTATGTAAATACATAGTTATGTTATATTTTTTGCGCTGTCCGTGGTATTTGGATTCGCTAATTTAGAGAGCGTTCCAGTTTGGTATCGATACCGCCCCGTGTCGACATCGACAAGGATAGGAAATGAAGCAGATGAATTATTTGAACATTGTTCTTCGACCTTTTCTATGTCGAATTTTGTGCGCCTTCTTCGCTCACCAGACGAGAAAAACAAGCAAGATTCACTCGCCTCTTCCTCATTTAGGTACCGTAGGGCACTACCGCTATAAAGTTCAAATCTGGTCAAAAGTTAAGAACAAATTAAGAACAAGCTGAGGCTGAGCTTCTGCAAAATGCAATTTGAACAACGTTTTTTCTCAAACGGTTGTCGGAGGCCCTTGGTATAACTCTGAATAGAGGCTTTCTTGCGAGCGTAGCGAGCTGACAATTTTTGCGACCACGCCCTTTAGATTAGCCTAAAATGCATTTCAAAATGTTTCTTGCAGTCATTTTCTTGAAATCGTTTAAAAATTTTGCTATTTTTAAGGCATCCTTTTAGCACGTTTGATTAATTCCAATCTTAACATTGATTTCATTACTTTGTAATAAGGAAAAGGATCCACCCTATCTTTGTATCATCGAGACAAATTGGTCCTTTCATGAGAAATGAAGCAATGAGACAAAAACTACTGACCCCCACATGAGCAGGTCTCTGAAGGCCAGCAGAGCCAAAGAGACTCATCGAAAATCAAATTTTCCCTGGAAGGGGGGCATGAGTCCGGACACCCTAAACACAGACTGTCCCCCGACACCCTAAACACAGACTGTCCCCCGACACCCTAAACACAGTCTATGAGTGCTGTGTTCTCCACACGAAAGAATTTAACTATGTAAGTTTCCTGAAAATCCTCTAAAAAATTGATTAACTTTTCACCCCTGCGAACAGTACAAATGTTTTTTCTGGATAATACAGTACTGAAGGGGCATAAAGACGTGCCCTTAAAGTGAGAATGTTCTAGGGGTATGGGGGCGTGCACCCCAATAAAGTTTTGAATTTAATGGCGTCTTTTTTGTCTTTGCTGGCCTCCTAGAGACATAATAACAAGACAAGTCGGTCGTTTCAAACTTTCTTTGAGTCTTCGGCGCCCTATACAAATTTGGCGCCCCTATAAAAATGTCAGCTGGGGAGGCCCTGGCCCCCCGGCCCCCTGCCAGGCCGCCACTGTTAGGGGGCGAGGGGGGCAGTTGCCCCCCACCCCTAGAGTCCAAAAGTCGGCAAAGTTACCATTCGGCAATACCTGGTATTTGCTATTTTGTCAAAAAAAACCAAACAATTCCAAACAATGCCAAACAATTCGAATTATCTCTAAATTTTTCTCTCGATACTTGATCTCAAATTCGAGCGAAGTCGAGCATTGATGGCCAAACGGTTCAACTTTCGCTCTATTTTTTACTCGACTGTTCCAAAAGCCTCTTTCCAATGCCCAGCTCGTGAGAAAACGTCGAAACAAAGAGAGAACTGTTGTTATTTGAACACTCCTTTGGCATAGTGATGCTCTTCAAAAAATCTGAGCCAAAGTGAAGAAGCGGGCTATAATAACTATTTAACGATGAATTTTGAATATTTAGAAGAGCTTCAGTCAATCACCAGTAGGGTATTCTGTATTTACCCTATCATATCAAAATTAATTGTTCTTAAAATTATGGACGAGCTGGAGCTGTGAAAAAGTGACATTTAATGACACTAGAAAGGGTTGGCAAAAAAATTTCATTCGTTCATCAAATGATTTGGTCCAAATAAAAAAACACGTCAGATTCTTTAAAGATTGGGCTTGAATATAAAAAAGGCCTTTGGTCTTGTGAATTTTTGACGTACACAATTAGATTTAGTCGAATCTGACAGATTTGCACAGTTAGGATTTGTGACATACAAAATGAATTGTGATCCTTTGAATTGACTCACTGCCAGATAAGTCAGCGTTGGTGCAAAGAATATATATTTCTTGGCCTGAACGTAATTACCTGACCACTATTTGTTTCAAAGTGCAAAGATGTTTAAGTTTATTCTGTGCAATTACAAAGTGGTCAAAGAAAGTACAATGCTTATGGATTTTTTGTTGGTATATTTACCACCACGCTTACTTAATACATAAAATATGAGTATTATAGTCATCTCCAGGGATATCTTTAACCTCCACATGAGGGAATCCTGCATCCTTCAGCATTTGTTGTGCCAACTCGATTCCCCAACATGTGCCTAGTCCAGCACCACCTTTGAAGTATAAACTAACAGGCATGCAATGAAAAAGACTCTCTGCATACTTCATTGAAGACATGGGCATTCCGACATTATCAGCAGAATGACTGTGGGCTTTAACATCAACCACTGAAAACCAGCCTCCTGGCTTCAACAGTCGATACACAAAGCTAAGAACTTTTCCTGGGCTGGCCTGGTCATGGATAGCATCGAATGATGTCACTAAATCAAAAACTCCATCCTCAGCATCACAAATGTTTGCACAGTTCTTAACAAAAAACTTTGCATTCCCAAGACCACGTTTTGCAGCTTCCAGATTGGCTGATTTTACTGTTTCTTCTGAAATGTCATAACCGAAAAACTCACTGTTTGGAAACTTGGCTGCAAGCATCAAGCTTGGAGATCCCATACCACAACCAATATCCAAACATTTTGCTCCAGATTGCAGTTTCTCTGTCAGTCCTTTGATCGAAGGAATATGCTGCTGCAAAAGCAAAGCATTGTGACGTTTAACAGAATACTCGTTCATCCAATCATGAAACTCAGGGTAACTTGAGTATGGAATGCCACCTCCCTCCTTGAAACAATGTCTTAGCTCCTTTTGATTTAAAGACAGCATGAACAACCACTTGAATTGATGTGCAATGCTATCAAATCCTGGAGTTAGGAACTTGGCATAATGTTTTGGTAGAACAAATGAATTGTCATCCTTGTTTGCAATGACAACTCCACCCGTTACCATGATTCCAAGCCACTCCCTCACATACCTAGAATTTGCAATGAACTCATTGATAAGAAGATGTGAGTTATGGGAATGAAACTTATTTTGCATACTGTCTTTAAAGAGAATATTACAGAATCAGTGGTGGTATTAAAAAAAGATTTGGCTGTATCACAAAGCATTACGTTGTATGTCCTATTCTTCAGTGCTGAAATATGAATACAAATATCATGCTGCCTAAACAATACTTCAATTAAATATTACTGCCTCTCAGTTTGGGCGCGTGATTAGGCACCCGCGCCTTGGCACGCGCCTAGGCGAGACAAGGTGCGCGTTTTGTCATGCACCTGCTTCTCAAAAAATAGCGATATCGCACGGCTCAGCCATTTGTATATTGTAAAGAATTTTTTTATAAAAACTTTATCTTGTTACTCCGGAAATGATTTTTAAATCACAGCATCCATCATTTGGGGAATCGCATGACACATTATGCGATGAACAGTTGAAAGCAGTCTGTGCCAATTGAGTGTGATAAAAGAACCACTCCAAATCTGCCACTATTATCATTACAGGAAGTAATTTTTAGATTAGAAACGCTTTCATGGTTAAGCTACTAAATTGCTGTTGTGAATTAATGTTGGAGTCAAAAATATAGAAAAGTTTCGATTCTGGGTGTCTCATCATCATCATCACTTTCGTCTCCCATTTCAAGCATGTTGCCAGGTCGGGGGCTAGATCATTCTCTTCCCTTGTTCTCTGTCCAGTTCATCCACTTCTCTAATTCCTAGCACTACCATGTGCTTCTTGATGTTGTCCATCCATCTTCTTGCCGGTCTTTCTCTTGGCCTTCTTCCTGTCACCTCTATAGACAGGACATAAAGCCTGACAATCTGACATTCAAGCTAATGTTTGTTTTCTCAACGGATTCTGGTAGTAGGGAGTTCAGGCTCTCATAATCTGCCAGGTGACTTTTTTGAAAATGCCTGGATGTCACGTGACTGATGACGTCATTTAACGGTAAAAAGTCAGAGAAAATCATCGTTAGCTCCTCACTGAAGGGTTATTTTTTAACGCAACTTACATATTTTGACTCGTCTCATTGCAAGCTTTCAAATGATATATATTTAAGCAAGATTTGCCGACATAAGTAATTTTATTATGACGTCATAACAAATTTTGCATGACGCCATCAAATATTTTATTGTCATAAAATGATACGTTAGCATAACTTTGTTTTAATATGACGCTGGCTGTCAGCAAAAGCTTTTCTTCCATATGTTTTTCAATCAAAATAATTAGTTTTTAGTTCATTTAAATTGAATTTGTGCCAACCGGAATAGCCAAAGTTTAAATAAAGAAGTCGTTACTGTCTGACGAGTGAGTCACTTCTTCCTCCGAAGTTGCAAAGTCTTGCTCCCACTTTGAACCAGACAATGATTTCTCTGCATCCGCATTTGAATGTTACACTAAATCGGAAGAATGTCTTGGCAATATAGGCTATCCAAGATGTCCTACCGATGTGCTGAAGGTGCATGACTTTTTTCAATAAGGCTATCTTCTGCTGCGAAATAAGGCCATCTCATAAATAAAATACTCCATCTGGCATCTTTCTGATTGTGGTTTTTTATATGGATTTGGCTCCTTGCGCATGAAATTAAGAAAAACAGCTTCATTTCCTTGTCACAGTACACCTTCAGGAGTTGCAAAACTAGAGTTATGGTTTTGATGGGATATGAAAATGCCTTTTCGATAGAGAAAACCTTGCCAATCACGAAAGCTTGGTGGTCTTCGTTCATTATTGAGACTGCTTTCGCTCTTTTCTTGGATCTTTGTGCCCCAGAATGCAGCTTTTATTTCTGACTATACTTTCGTTGCCAGCAACAACCTACAATTCGAGCAAAATAGCTCATTTCTTCGAGATATTTCTTCCATGTTAGCGCTAGTGTCATCAGTCCGTGAGAACATTTTGTAAAAACGCCACCAGAAAACGCCAGATGGAGATTTGATGAGACGGCCTGAGTTCGTAGCATCAAATCCAAGGAAACATTCAGTGTTTGGTTCAAGAACATTCATGGATGTGCTAATCCTCCTTATGAGGCTAAATCAATGAAAGTGGAAACAAAGTCAACGCTAAATATTTAGAAACAGCACACGAGCAAGCAAACGGCAAAAGAGAGTCATCAAGGCAAGTGCATATAAAAAGTGGAGAGCAAAAGATACTCCAAAGTAAGGAGAGTATTTTTACATTGATGAAAAAAAGAGAATCTTATGAGACTTGCTCCCGAATTCTTTCGAAGCACTGAGGGTCACAGGCCCCTGACAATTCAATTTATCGTAGCTTAAGGAGGAGAAGAGACTTCAAAAAGCAAGTAGAAGTCCCTCCAAGATGTAACCACAAAAAGGCGGAAACCAGAATATTTTGCATGGTAACTCGAAAGATGCAAAAGTAGTTGCTGTTGCAAAAGATACTGATTTATGTGTGCTGCTTGTTCATGCAACACAGAAGTGCAAACCCACAAATTAGTGGTTTATGTGCATAAATAACAAACAAATCGTCACGATTTGAAGCATCGCTGAAACTTTTGGTTCCAAAATTTGCTGTATTTTATCACAGATTAATTGAATTGTGGGCTAAGACAACTGCACATAAGCACAACATTGATAAGGTTACTGTGAGAAAAGCTAACGAGTAACCAGAAACAAGTCATCATTAAAAGTCTCTCCGAAGGAGTTATCGCAAAAGCAAAGACATTCGCGAAACAGCAGAATATAGTGGAACAACATATAAAAGCTATTTAGGGACAAAGATATTTATCAAATCTGAAAAAAATCATCTGCAGCAGTTCCAGCAGATCCATAATCACTCAATCAGAAAAGAATTAAATTGTATCAACTTAAAAAGGTTATTTTGGCTACACTGTTTAGGTGCAACTACTACAAGACATGTCCCAAAAGCCTGATGCTGAAATTTGGACGACATACTCGACCGTTTAAAGTCTAAATGGTTCACAGGAAAGCAGCTTCCTCATCTCCGAGAGCTTCCTTTACATCACAAGAATATGAAGGTGACGCAGGAGATGAATTTACCCATGAAGAAAATCATACACTTTCATACCCAGCGCTAAGGACCTATAGTGCGAAAACATCTTGGACATCCTATAATAGTGCGAAGATATTTTCCGACTTAGCAACAGTCAAATGCAGATGCAGAGAAATAATTGTCCGGTTCAGAGTGGGAGCAAGACTTTGCAACTTCGGAGGAAGAAGTGACTCACTCGTCAGATAGTGACTACTCCCTGTTTCGAACTTTGGCTATTGATGTGGGCACAAATTCAATTTAAATGAACTAAATACTAATTATTTTGATTGAAAAACATATGGAAGAAAAGCTTTTGCTGACAGCCAGCGTCATATTAAAACAAAATTATGCTAACGTATCCAGGGCCGCCGAGAGGCGGCCTGGGCCCTGGGGCAAAGTCCCGGTTGGGGCCCTAGAGTCGGATACAAAATTTTTTCGAGACCACGCCCTTTTTAAAATGGGAAACGCCCATTATTTCCAAACGTTTGCGCACGTTATAGAATATGGGTAAAATATCATAAAATGTAATAAAAAGCATTAATTCTAAAGGTAAGCGATTTAAATACGCTCTTTGACCACACCCTTTTAGCTGATTAAAGAGGACTTCAAATGTGTTCCTTCAATTCTGACTGTTTTTTTCTGGTGAGCCACGCAATATAAAAATTTAAAATGAAAGCAAACTTTTATTCTACGCACTTTTATTTAAAAAATCCCATGGAACTATGCTTTTCAGTTCTTTCGTCCTTCAAAAGTTAATGTTTCTTGCTTTTTCAGTTGCAAACTGATCAATGATATTGTCGTAATCAATTTTTCTTGCTAGTTTGTGCTCAATCGAATGCGTCATGAGGCTTGATAGTCTGTCTTGAGTCATTGTTGAACGTAAGCGGTTCTTTATTAATGCTAGTTTGCTGAAAGGGGCCCCAAAAATATAATATAGCTTTATGCAACGAGTCCAAATGAAAACATAACTCACTTGAACGGGCCATAGATTAAAACAAGATTATATGGGTTACCTAATTTTTATCAGGGCTCGCTTCCATCAATAAGTACGATTTTGCGAAACTCAGGGAAACTCAGCTTAAAAGATGAATCCGTAAAATATGTGATCTAAGGTTTATTCAGCTTTCCTCGGGGCCCCAGACTCAATAAATGAATCTGATAGGCCTCAAATTCAAACAAGACTCAGTGTACGGGCTCAATGAAATTACTGCCATCATTTTCGATATTAACAAATATATCTTTGAATGCATTTTCAGTTTCTCAAAAAAAAGGCATTTTAAAAAATTTTCAGAATAATTTGAGGGCCCCTTACAGGCCGAGGCCCTGGGAAAAATTGCCCCCCTGCCCCCCCTCTCTACGCCACTGAACGTATCATTTTATGACAATAGAATATTTGATGACGTCATGCAAAATTTGTTATGACGTCATAATTAAAATACTTACGTCGGCAAATCTTGCTTAAATATATATCATTTGAAAGCTTGCAATGAGTCGAGTCAAAATATGTAAGTTGCGTTAAAAAATAACTCTTCAGTGAGGAGCTAACAATGAATTTGTCTGACTTTTTCACCGTTAAAGACGTCATCAGTCACGTGACATCCAGGCCTTGTCCAAAAAGTCACCTGGCAGATTATGCAAGCCTGAACTCCCTACTACCAGAATCCGTTGAGAAAGTAAACATTAGCTTGAATGTCAGACTGTCAAGATATATGTCCTGTCTACTAGGTCCATAGTTCTCTTCACCTCATTTTCAGGTTCCATTCTCATGACATTTCCAAACCATTTCAATCTTGATCTTCTTATTACTGTTGTTAAACTCCCCACTCCGAGGTCACTTCTTATATTTTCACTTCTCTGTCTTTCCCTTAAGGTCACTCCCCTAATCCTTCGCAGCATTCTCATTTTCGAGGTTTCTAGTAGCTTCTCTCCCTTCTTCCTTATGGTCCATAGTTCTGCTCCATATATGAGAACACGTCTGATTATGGTTATGTAGATCTTAACTTTTGATCTTTTTGATATGTATCTACCTCCCACACACAAATTTCAACTGTGACTGATGCTGTCATCAACAACCGATAATATCTATTTGAAAATGGACAAATTCTCTGTCTTTCTTCTGAAAATTTGCCAGTTTCCAAGAGGTTGATGACAAAACTTCCATTTTCGAAGATTTCCCGACAAGGTTAGGGTCTGGGGGGTGTCACACCCCGACACCCCCCCCCCCGTAGCGACGGTCCTGGCTGCTACACTTGCCCTCACTGCTGCCTCTGAATCTCCACTCTCGCTCAGTATCACTCTTAGGTATTTAAATTTGGTCACTTGATTCAGTCTGGTATTGTCCTTATAATATATTGTTATGTCTCTCCTGTTTTTTCTACTCATCATGACCTCCGTTTTCCCCGTGTTTACTTTTAGTCCCTGGTTTGACATTCCCCTCTGCCCAGTGGCGTCGCGTGACCATTCTCGCTGGGGGTGTAAGAGATGCAAAACCATATTTTACCAGAAATTCTTCTGTTACATTAATATTTTGTTATAAATTTGATTCTACCGTCAAGTTCACTGAAAGTTGAAGGTGAACACTCCACCACACCACCCCCCCCCCCCCCCCCCCCACGCACGCTACGCCCCTCCTCTGCCATTGCACCCCAGTTTCTCCTGAGCACTGGCCTCACTCTCTGCGAGATAAACAAGGTCTTCAGGAAAATAGGAGTTCCTCAAGGTAAGCCACTTCTAAAGTCCCACTTGATGGTACCCATCCGACGATAAAATAGATCCCACTGGAGTAATCCACTTCGATGTTGAATGATTCTGTCTGGCTGCGGTGTTCTCACTACTGTCCGGACCCTCATAGGTTGCTGCTTACCTTAGTTTGTCCCAGCCTCTCTGTGGATCCACTCTCTTCCTCAGAGACACCAGTTAGAGGACAAACCCGCGGAATTCTGTCTTATAACACTTTAAAGATAATAGCTATATAGAGTTCTTTGGTACTTTTATGCAAAGCTTAAAAACCCAATGTACATGATAATACAGCTTTCTCGGGTGATCAAACGAAGTCTATAAATTCACGCGCGCTCGATGGAAAATTTTGCTTCAAAGCGCGCGATTCAGCCATTGCACCTTACTAAAATGCGAGGGGTAAAATCACTCTACGAAAATCTCGTACACCTTTTTGTTGAAAATCTATTGTTTTATTATAAAATCCCTAGAAATCCTTTTGTTTTAGGGAAAATCTCGTACGCTGATTGCAAGAGTGAATCGGCCCCTTAGCTAAAATCTTTTTAGGGAGAGGCACTGTAACATGCAGTTGGATGTGCTAAAATAAGTTTACAGTAAACAAGCTGCAGTTAGACTATAATGTGAACACTCTCTTTCTATTTGATACTCCACAATGACTGCTGGAGCTATTTTACATAGTTTATGTGAGAGCGGCAAAGGGTTTTATTTGTGGGGGGGCTAACCATGCCGAAAAACCTAGGCAGGCGATTCACGTATTGGTTTCAAGTACATTTGGGATTGAAATTGTTGGCGGCTAGAAACCCCGTAGGTCCTCTCGCCCGCGCATTCGGCTGTCCCATGTCCCTTTTCATGTTTGCTTCTTGCAGACAGTACTAAATTTTATGTCAGAATCCAGTGCAGTGCCTGTTAAGAAATATGCTTATAGGCCAAAAAGACGTTTTAAGCCGACTAATTTTCCTCTGACATCTTGTTTGAAAATTCGAATCCTTAATTTCAATCCTAAATACTTAACTCCATCTCCACCCCTGGTAATGTTTCAACCTTGTGATGCAAAATGTGGGAGTCAGTTATTAGTAGAAAATTCTTAAGAATAGATGCTTTGCGTATAAAAGCCACCGACGCTTTGTTTACATTCGTCGGTGAGACTTTCTTGTGTTTAATGTGGCCTAAAATTCCTAGGTTGTGCAATAACAACCTTCGGGCGAAACCCTCATTAATTGTCTGTCTTTATCACGCCCACAAACACCTCTGCTTTCTTTTCCTTGACCCTACCATATGTAATTATCGTTAAAACAGCAAGAAAAGGCGACTAACCTCTCGTTCAATCCAGCTCTTTCTGCAAGCTCAGAAGAAGTTACGCTTTTTTCCAGCTCTGCCATTGCCTTAAACAAACCCATGTAATCACCCATTGCTATACCCATGCCAAGAGCGGCATTGTTGAGGGCATCCATTAATTTTTCGCTAAAAGCTTCCTCTGTTTGCGCCATAATTGGGCCTACTTCTTCTCTCTCCAATTCTACTGCATCGGGAGTTGCATTTCGTTTGTTAGCATTTATCAATAGCCACAACAAAAGTAACCAACTGACAGGTCCCGTGGTACGCTTGTTATCTTTGAATCGTGTTCACGAGAAAATTTTTGTCATCGCATGCTCGCATGGAGGGAATCCGAAAAGGCAAAAATCTTCATTCAGCCATGCTAAAAACTTTTTTGCCGGTAACTCTTGGGAGAAAGGAATAAACTGGTGGTGAAAATTGAAGAGAGGTATCCCTATGTAAAAAATCTTAGTCACGAAAACAAGTTTATTTGGATGATGAGTCAAGAAGATACTGATTTGATTCAAACTCTTGCGATAACAGTAAGGCGAGCACTCCAAAAGCGTGAAATTTATCAGACCTTATAAAAAAATATGCTGATCAGTTTGCTGTTGTATGTTTAAGCTGTTATAATTTTTGTAGCCATTTGTAGTAATATTTTAGATGTACAAATTTTAATAAACCATTTAAAATTGCGACGTTCTGTTTTGTTGTAGTATATTAAGGGCCATTTCGGTCTATGCATCTATTATTATATAAAAATATTACACATTTGTCAATCAATCATGCAAAGTTTGGAATCACCATTAATGTTGTACTTTCTGCATAAATCTAAAAAAGGAAATCACAGCACCGCTTCTTTCTAGCAACCCCCTTTTTAGAAATAGTTCAATTGTTCTCTAAATTCTGAACAATATGAACCGGAACATTTATGTACCCGGACCGGTTCGCATGCTAAATTCCACTTTTCATTTTGGTCCCCTATTGTTTTAAGTGCTTGGGTACGTGTTTGCATAACCAAAATTGCCATGCATTAATGACCCGGGCCGAAATGCCTAAGGTTACCGAAACGCATATGACACCGGAATGAAATATCAACGTGGGCCAAGGTACGCCCACTCAACCGCTCAGACAAACTGAACCCAGCTGACGAGCTCAATTCACAAAAAGCCATCATTTGATCATCACATAGAAAATTGACAGAATAGGCATAAAAATATACTGCAGCTTTTTCTACTTTTCTGGACTTTCATTTTTATACGATTCTAGCAGCATAGCTGGAAGTGGCAATTAATCAAATGTGTACAAGCCATTGAGCTGCCACTAGCCTTTGGCCGCTGCTAAACTTTCCGTGATTCTTTACCTCAACTGGACCCTTTCAATATGAAAAAAAGGACAAACAAATCTTTATGAGATTATGAATATGAATGAACTATCAAGCCAGATTACTGTAAGTTGATTGATTGAAGCTAAAAACAAGGCAAACTAGCCGTGGGGAACATCATGTTATCGTGGCTTTCTTTCCGGGCTCAGGTGAATAGAGTAATTTTTCTCAAAAAGAAATCTACTGTTCAGAGCCGGGAAAAAAGCCGGTTGTGCTTGAGAAAATCTTGAGGAAGGTCAATGTAATCAAAAGAAATTGAATTACTCCGCCAAGAACCCCCTTTTCCCCTTTATGTTGAGAGGAAAGCTTTGGAAGCTTGAGGGAATTGTGGTGAGCCGGGATATTTTCGAAGAGATTTTCACCCGTGTGAGATTTCCAATCAAACAGAAGGATTTCTACGGATATACCGATAAAAGAATAGGATTTCTAGCAAAGGTGACTTTCATGAAGGGATTTGCCTGTCAGATATTCTGATGTAGTTTTCAAGTATGGTTAAAAGAACATTATATCTCAAAGAACGCATGTCTTATGTCTCAAAAACTAATATCCTATAGAAATTATGTCTGAAAATGTATGTATTTTGCCTGCTGAAAAATTATCCCTCCCTAACAGTCACTGAGATCAGTAATGGCAATTCACCCTTTTGGATAGCGTAAGAGATTTCCACCAAAACAAAAGGATTTCTGAGGGATTTACTGATAGAAGAAAAGGGCACTACCAAAGAGTGATAGGTGCGTGCCCGAAAACTTTTTGAGGCAACGCCCTGTAGAGCGCTGTAAAATGCCCCTTTTAGGAAATTCTTGTTTTTTCCACTGGTATTTTATGAACAAACTGATTCAGTGAAGATATCAACGACTACAAAATAAGCTTGAGGATAATAAAACTGCAAGCTAGCCAAGTTAGAAAACGCATCATATCTTTAAATAAGACAAAGCATCTTAAAATGAACAAAAAAGGGTTCCCAGACAAGAAGTACGCTAATACTTAAAATCCCTTAGAGTGAACTTTCCAAAGTTGCGTTAGAGTAAACTTTTTTGAAAATTTTTAAACTTATTATTGCAAAAAGTGTGGGGGGGAAGGGCTAAAGCCCTTGCTAGCCCAATAGCTGCGTGGTGCCGAAGCTTAAGATTGCAGCTTTAAAGAAGCTTAGAACTCAATGCCCATTCAGTAGAAACCCGAATAAAACATAGAAGATTCCAGTCTAAAAGGTTCTTAACAATGTTCTTATACATATACGTACAGGCCTTGCACACATTAACAATGTTTTCCACCATAAAAACTCTAATGGACCCATTTAAACCAGCTTTGTTTTGCATGTTAAATTTTAACCAATAAAATGAATTTGTGTTGTTAGGTTGTCTGATTAGAATGCAACATAGCCACCACAACCTGATTTACTCTAAGCTGGTTTATTTTGCCAGTGTGAATAGGGTGTAAAAATAGAATTCTAGAAACCCTTTTTTATATATAAAAGAACCTTTCCAAATTTCACCCTTTTGGGGTTCTTAATTATGGGGTTGAAAAGATTTAATTTAAGCCTCAAGGTTCTTATAAAAACAGGCTCTTTTATGCAGGTTTTTACTGTAGAAACCACTTCAAGTACAAATATGATAATTTCTAAAGCGAATATTAAAGGTTTGTCATTTTTTTGCTCCCACCGCACCTCAAAACAATTTACAGGACACTGAAAGCTATAATCGCTTTCCTGTATGTTTCTTGGTCAAAGCAATAGGAAATAGTTTCCCAAAAATTGATCAGTCATTCCTCCCAAAATGGGCTGCACGTGACGCCGCAAGATATCCGTTTGACGTAACAAAATGAGCTTCAAAATTAAACGCACAAACTAAATATCAAAAGATCCTTCCTAATAAAATACAATAGCAAACTGCACTTCTCTTCACATAGTTGACCAAGTGAATATAACAAATATTCACATAGCCTGTGTATGATGAAATTCGTTCAACCTAGTTGCCCTCCAAATTGCCTGAAGATATCATAAGAGCAGGAAATGCCTGCAAGAGGTTTTGAAATTAGTTATTGACAGCAGGGTGGCTTGCCCTTCCAGACAAGGGGGGTGGAGGGCCATCAATAAAAAAATTTACCGACGAAGACAAAATGGAGAATCATTTAGGTACTATTTCAGCTACTGATAGATGATTTTACTGACAAACTAAGGATTTTGTAGACGAATGGAAAATTTACCGACGAACTTGTGAAGTATTGGAGATGTTACACCCCTTACACCCCCCTATATCCCCCGCTAGCTAAGCCCCTGAAGGAAAAGACTTTCTCAAAAAATATTACCATTCATATTCTGTGAATTTTACTTTTTCAAAAATAACACAAATATTTTAGATGTTTTTGGGAAATGCTTGTAATACCTCTTTTCATACGGGTGGTGAGTTTACAAACGTCAACCACACCACCTCGACCTCCTGCAGATAGGGCTACGGGTCAAGAGGCCAGGCTTGAGGCCGACAAAAAGCCAATGCCTAACCAAACAGAAGATTGTTTTGGCAAATGGCGGTCGAATGCTGCATTAAAAATTGCTTTCTCGAAGATTGCTTTTTGTTGGTTTTCCATTAATCAAGATATATTGGAGTTAAATAAGGTTTTAGACCGTCTTTGTTTACCATTTATCATTTCCTTGGAGATAAGAAGTATTTTGTTTTTTTCTCTTGGTTGATACATTTTAAAAGAGCAATGCGGAAGCCCGTAGTTTCTGGCCTATCATACCCTTCCAGGAAATCGTAACTGGAGACTTGGCACACTGCTTTTGAATATGGAGAAACTTCTCAGGACTGTGGAGTTCAGTGAAAGAACTTGTAACATTAAAGAAGATTCGAAGGAGTTGTCACTCCCTTTAGTGTTGAGAGTAAAATCACAATGTTTACTTTCCCACAAGAAAACATTAGTCGAAGGGGATGTTATTACAATTCATGGACGAAAATCGTTGGTGTTTTGAAAGGTAAAGATAGCAATGGTAGAAATGTCAGTTTATTGACAACTTGCCCCCATATAGTTCAGCTCGCCTTGCCAGAAGAGGAGCGAAAATGTTTTAACTCGTTGAAGGAACTTTGCGAACAAGAATCTCGTCCGAAATTTGTGGAAATTAAATTAGAGAAAGAAACTGAATCAGTTCAGAATGGTGATCGTTTGAAGGTTTTACTTGTGGAGAGGGGATCAAAGGGTCCACTTTTTATGCATTTCCGAAACGAGAAGGGAAAGCACGTACGTCTTCCTGTAGAAATCGAAGCAACTTTTACTGCATGCCCCCCAGACGGGAAGGAATATTTCATCAGTGAGATTGCCAACATCAACAAAGCCCCACTTGCTCTTTTCATACAATTTGTCCAAACGCCAGATCATGGAAATGACATGTTTCATTCACTTGGGATAATTGAGATCACAGAACAAACCACAGTCGATATGTTATTTATGACCCTTAGAGATGGTGGTAACTTCTATTGTTGTGTTTGTGTGACCCCAGAAGATTTAACTGGTTTTGTTCCAAGAGGATACAAGGAAGATGAATATGACAATTTTCGGAAAACAATCAAAGAATTTGTAGATCTTGAAAAAATTGAGACAGTTCATGGCAACAGCAATCCTCAAGAATCTGATTATTTCTTTCTTTTACTTTTTGACAAGGTTTTTGGAAAAAGGAAATTGAAAGACAAGGGCAAAAGGGTTCAAAGTTTGGCTCTAGATGTTGATGAAGATAAGGAGAAAAAGCGAAGCAGTTTTCTTGCAATTTTTAAAGATGAAAAATCAAAAGAAAATAGTGATAATGAAAAGAAGGAAAAGAAAGAGAAAAAGAAAAATAAGAAGGAAAAGGGAAAGGAAGCTGTTGTAGATAAAAAGGAGGAACAAGAAAGTGAAGTTAAAGGTTCAGCTACTGCAGACAATGAAAACAGCAGTTGCAAAGATGAAACTAGTATTGCATCTGAAAATGATGCAGAGTCAACCGAAATGAAAATTAAAGTAGACAGTACTGCTGCTGATACCAGGCTTAAAGAAGAAAATGAAGCACCAGATTTGCCTGTTGAAATGAGCCCAAAACTGAAAAAGAAGGCTAAAGAAGAAAAGAAGAAGTGGAGGTTTGATTTCAAGTCAAAGATTTCTGGTAATGACAAGAAAGAGAAGAAAAACAAGAAGGAAAATAGTCTGGATCGCAATCTGAAACAACAAACATCTTCTGACAAATCCAAATCAGAGCCATGTAGTCCAAATGAAGAATTTGGTGATGATGATTATGAATTAGCAGCAGAATTGGAAACAATTGCTGCCCAAAATTTGCCAGCAGATGAAAACCATAAAGGTAAAGAGAAATCGACAACTTTGATCTCTCGCACCTGGAAGAAAATGAAAAAGAGGAGAAGAGCCTTTTCAGCATCAAATATGGCAAGCTCTGCAGATAAATCAGCTGACAAAACTGGGGATAAAGGAGATGTTCCACCGCCCCCCATGGCTCCTGATTATTCTGATGATATTTATGAACAAATACCTGGAGAGTTTATGTCCCAAGATATTTATGAGGAGGCATACAGAGCATATGGTGCCTATGAGCAGCCAGTGGCAATTGTATCTACCACTGATACAGTTGATAGTGGGTTTGATGAGCTTGACCAAAAGGCCCTGGATACCTTACGCCAGTCATCTGCACCACCTCCTTTACCAGGTAAAAATTCAACTTTTGTACATTATCAGGGAAACTGGAAATTTTTGGAGTTTTCATGATCAAATTTGACAAGAGCTCCTTAAAATACCTTTAAATTTGCAAAAGCAGTGAAATTTACTCTTTGCTTTGTTGGGGAGAGTGTATGACATTTTTTGGCTATATCTTAGCCAATTTTTGTTGTATTTGACTGTTTTTTCATCAATATATATAAACTTCACTGTTTACTTTTTAAATTTTTAAAGAATATAAAATAGTTTTTGTGACATTTTCACTTTGCTATTCCATGCTACCAAGTAACAGGGACAAGATAATGCTGTTGGAATGAATTTCATATTTGGGGGCTGCCCATTGTATTGTTCCCATTCAGTACACTGTTTTAGAGGAAATATGGTGCCGTTTAAAAATAATTGGGGGCTCCAGCTACCCCAACCCCTGATTACCAATAATTTTGGTCTTTGTTACCAATTATGTTGGCATATAACTACTCTCACATAAATACAAATTACAGTACAAAAATATTACATATAATTTTTATAAAATTGTTGCATATAATGGTAGGGATAATGTTTCTGATCATTTTCAAATTTTTGGGGCATAGAAATGTAATTTATTGCTTCTCTCTGTATTTTGTTGTTCAGGACAGTAGATTTTCGTGAACTGAATAAACCAAAACCAAAGTCTCAAGCCATTAAATATTTCCTGTTAGATCCAGAGTTTCCATAAGCTTTTCCTTGCAAGTTCATGATAATTAATCTATATGATTTCTGGTTTCCTCTCCTAAATTCCAACCTGTTGTTCTGATAAATTCCTGTTTCCAACATCTCCTGTAGAGTCAAGGTACATGCCCTTTTGTAATCGTAAGAAACATGTTTTGGGTAAAGGCACCAGCACATGACTAACTCAACCCAAAATGGAGAAACTGTGGCGACGCCGGCCACAAGGTAATAGGGGGACAAAACAGCATGCTCATTCCACGCCCTTGATACTATCAGAATGGGGACTTATTTTGGTAACGTTTCGCGTACACATTGTTTTCCCAATTGATCTCTGTGCATTTTATGTGTCATATGTTTTTGTATCTACGACCGAATCGTTGTTTAAGCTAGGTTCCTCGACAGAGTTGATAAAAATAGGAAAATTTGGTAAGGTGCTGTCGATAGGCTGTTTTGGTGCGTGGCATAAGCTTGTTGCTCTAGATAAAACCACTTTGTACCCTATTAGAGTCATATTTCGCGTTATAGAGTGAATTTTGCACTAGCTCCCGGCGCGGCACTCTTCATGAGTGTTTTGCCCCACTTTAGGTACAGTCAGACTGTTGTCTTCTCTTTTTTGAAATCTTTTTTATTTTGACTGAAATTTACCTTTGTTCAAATTTTCAAACTCAATGAACTTATTTTTTTTCTATTAGGGAACCACCCGGTTATGCAGTCGGCCTCTCGACCCAGACGCGGTTCGAGTGTGAAAAGCAATAAAGGAACCCGGATCTCAGTTGATAGCGAAGGGTTCCGGCGGTTTTATGAGAGCATGAGGGCAAGTGAAGCTGTAATTCGAAGTTGGGGACCTGACGAGATTGAAAAAGCTTTAATTGACTTGCAGTTAGGTCACCATTTTGATAAATTCAACGAATCACAAATCGACGGAAGTCTTCTTATTGACCTGGACGAAGCAGTACTGAGAGACCTGGGACTTAGCCTCTTCGAAGCGCGGAAATTGCGTAAGTTTGTCTTTGGCTGGCGGCCAGACTCAATGCGTGATTCTGTGTACCAGCAAAAGTACAGCAAATCAAGCAAAAACCCATTTGAATGGAGTACAGAAATGGTAGCTGATATGATTAAAAGTGAGCTGGGTATTCCGGAATTGGCAAAATTTTGCCTGGAGAATCAAGTAAACGGCGATTTGTTAAAAGACATTGTTGTTGATGAAGAAGTGTTGAATTTTCTTCTGACCGGAAAGGCCATGAGGCTCAATGCAGTGAAACTAAAGAACTACGTGTTGGATGGTTGGAGGCCACCAAAGAAGAAAGAAACGCGCGCTGGAATACCAGAATGTGAAATACCAAGCGGATCTGACTCAACATACCAGCCGCTGACACCAACTTCAGTTCAAGGGAACGAGGCTTCAGATGAATACGAGGAGCCTTTACTTTTGTCTCCAAGGTCGCAAAATGATAACCCTAGAACAGGTAAAGCTGCGAAAGACGATGTGACGAATAAAAGGGAAGCTGTTTCGCCTGCCCGCTGGAAAGGAGAGGAAAAATCTACTCAAGAGCAAGGAAAAGCCATTGGAACACCAACCGCTGGCATCAATTCACTGATGCAAAAGTACGAAAAGAAGTCTTCAAGTGTCGACGCGCCACGCCCTTTTAAAAAGGTCTCTTCTCCACGCTCACCCTCGTTTGGAGATAATCAATCCAACGGATCCAATTTATCATTTGTTGCAAATATGAAAATGAAATTCAACGATAAATGAACTGGCTGGCTTTAACAGTGATTGACGTTCCCACAAATTGGCATTTTATATTTTAATGGTTAGCAAATCGGTTAAGCACAAGTCTGATGTTGAACATTACATGCTAATTTATAATGGTTACCTTGCCAATAAGGGTTCTCAAACCATAACTATATGGCCATGCGACCTTAACCCGTTATCAATAGATGATTGTAGATAACCTTAAATGTTGTATAGAATGCCTGCATGCTAAGGAAAGTTTAGAGAAGTTTCAGGTAAATTTTAAGGCTGCAAATTGAAATGTAATCTTGAGTTGCAATCTTCAAGATAGCTTTATCCTTGTGGAGCCCCATAGGACAACTTTTTTGATCTAACAAATAATTGTACAACAGGAATATACATCTGTAGTACAGGAGCTTACCAATGTTGAAAAATACATCTATAGCTCTGATCTATATTCCTACCAAAGGGATGTTTAAAATAGAAGTTGAAAAGAGCTTCGTTAATTAGGTGTTGAGTATGTTGTTATGGTGGGGCTAGTTTTGGAGAATCTTGTAAGAAATTGCAAAAAAGTTTTTAGACCTAATCGTAGCAATTTACAAGCCATTCCCATTTACTAGTCCAGTTACGTCACTTTACCATGGCTATGCTCTTGTTTCCATTGGTTACGCCACTAACCCTTGCCTTGCCTATGCCACTTATGTTACTACCCCCGTTAGCTTTGTCATTGAACCCCAAGAAATTAAACTGAAGAAAACTTCTGCTATCACTGCTAGCTCTGTTAGTTTCAAATCATCACCATCAACAAGGGTGTGAGGGCCACACATATTGATGTTCGATCTTAAGTTGCACACAAGCATATCATGTGTCACGTTAACGTAAAATATGCACAAAGGATTTATTTCCATCGCACTGATATTTAGATTTTTGAATACATAGATAGGTAACGACTTTGAGCTAACTAGGTTCTGCGTTAAGCAGAAAAGAGTACTAGATATAAGCAGCGTAATTAAAGTAATTAAACTTTAAGCAAATTTAACAATGTAAATCTTACATTGAGACCCCAAGCCGGAGCCAGGTGCCTGTTGATTCTCCCAGCTGAAATTTGAAGTTCTAGACTCCGCTTCGTGAACAGCATTTTTGTTTACTAGAAGAAGGATTCCAAAGTATTTATTTGACATCTATAGAAAGGAAGTGACGGTACCGAAATGGTTATAGTGAAATCATCTTGATTTTATATTAAACCCTATGCTTGCTTTGGCAATTTTTGTCATACAGTATGTTTTCTTGCACCATTATTCGCCATTGTAAACATCCCCCCCCCTCCTAAAAAAAACCCCAGTTTTGCTATCAACCAACATGGTTTTGAAAACTATTTGTCCCTATTGGTTTCAGATTTAGATTAAACATGTCTGTACCTAAATAAATCTTTTGTGGAGTAAAATTTCCGTGTTATCTTCATACTAAAACTTTCTTCGCTTGTTACATTAGTGTTTAGGTTAGCGTCTTTAAATCTGTTGCTGGGTAACAGACAGATGACGATTATCATTTTTCATCTGTATTAAAGCGTTATCTTACGTCCCACCTTCATTGATCACTATCTTCAAAGGATTAACTGCTTTATTTTTATTTGAATCATTTAACCCAATATTATATTTTTTTTAACAGTGATGCTCTATTTTTTTATGTATATTTTTATAAATGCTTAGTAGTAAGGTGTTATATGAATTCAAAGAGTTATCGTTCTATGACTTTCATGATTTGACAGATTCTTATTTCTTGCTCGTGTGTACGACTCTGCGATTCTGCGCACTTAGATGAGTTCTCTTAGATGTTTTGGGCTTGCAATCAGTAATCATTGTTTAATTTAAAAGGAACGCAACCTCGAGAACTTCATCCAATGCATCCAAATGAGCTTCGAATTACATTCACATCCTGTGTTTTTTATATATGCACGTAAAGGAGTTTCTTTGAAAGTGTCTTTTTTCTGAAATGGAAGTGTAATTATGTGACTTCAAAAATCAAAATTTTGCATAGTGACTTTATGGTACAGAGGTAGAAAATCCGACTGTCGCTAAAGATTTTTTTAATGAGGACAGAACAGTAAAAACGTAACATGCCTAATTAACCTATCCTAAACTATTTCGAGTATAAACGTCGGGCAGTAGCACGAACACCTCAACAATTTATATATAGGTGCGGTGTGGATCGAAAGTAACTTGGAGGTTAAATGGCACGTTTTAGTGGTTCCTTTCTTAACGACCAATGTTAGGTTGGTTGGGATACGAAACAGTCAACTCGAGGACGCTGCCGAAGTGCATACATAACCTTGTGGCTAAGCTAGCATTAAAGTTTATTTCAAAGACCCCTGCGAAGGATCGAACTTTATTGTTTTGCCACGTGATAAACCACGTGAAATAATAGATGTGTGAATGCAGGTACCATACAACTTAACAATGCTTCTTGTAAAGAGAATTGATGGCACGTGTGAGAAAAATGTTGTCAACTGTGTTGTGTTATACATATGTCTTTAATGTCAATTCATAATGAGTTAAAACATCTACAGTTTTGATAAAGCTGTTGATAATGTTCAGATGATTGTCTGTACCGAAATAGCTATTGCCAGAGGAGTTTTGTTATCTTAAAGATTGGCATCTTCAATGCAGATACGCCTTTCTGCAGGTGTTTAGGATGAACAACAACTAGAAACAAGTTTCACTGGAGTAGTTTCTTCCAAAGTGAAATAAACATCGCTGCTCTATCATCAAGCAACAGTGGAATCATTGACACGCTTTCAGGAAGCCTGTCGAAAAAATTGTTGCGTGGATGATTCAGAAAATTCATGAAGGTAATGTCACGAAAGAAGATCGAATGAACATCTGGAAATAGTGATAGAAACAGCGAGGTATATCAGATGAAAAGTTATGCTTACATGGCGATTTAATCTTCAATGACAACAAACAATACTGTAATCTGAAAGTAAAGTTTTTATTGAATTCCTCTATGAAGTTAGGTGTTAAAGGTTTTCCATCGTTGACTAAAACAATGACAAAAGCCGTACCACCGATTTCAGTGGCCTAAGAAAATGAACTAAAGAATTTCACATGAAAATTGTACTCTCACGCAGACGCAAGCAGAAAGTAGCGATTCACTTTCAAACGCAGAAGCTGGTAAGTGAAAATTTTCAAGTGGAATATATAAAAATATTTGAGATCTTAATTTTGGCATCGCAGTTTATAAATATCATAAATATTTTTGTAGTGGTCTTCAGCGTTACTTGTTCAATGACAACTGTACATAAAATTGCTTCGTGAAGGAAATGATGTGAAACTTTTGAGATACAACTTGAAAATGAATTCTCTTACCATCCACAAGTCCACCAGATGCACTCCTAATTCTGGATAGAGTCAGATGATTACGGGATAAAGCTGTCACGAATGGCTTTTAGCAGATACTTAACAAAATTTTCTTCAAAAAATCAACTCCTTATTTATATGCGTTGTCCTTATCTATAACAAGCTTATCCTCAGTCTCTTAGCACGATGAGTGTGCAAGAATGAAACTCGCAGTAACAGCTAACATGTCTTACCTTGAATCATCAAACTTCTAATATAGCAATGTCCTTATTGATGAGGCGATGTTTGATAATTTTTATACCCGATTAAAAATCTTACGTTGACGAGATAACTTAAGGTGGTAACATAATACAATTAACTTTAAATATAATTTGAATATAGATACAAATATAGATAACATTTGTCAATAATTGGCAATGATGGCAAAAAAATAAGAATACAGAATTTAAAAAAGAAGGTTTTTATTGGACAGTTCCTTAAGGCCTAAAATTCGATAAAGCAAAGGCTGGTCACAAACAAGCTTTACATTCTATCAATATGTCTACAAGATCTCATTTGAGTTTGGCCAGAACACCAAGCTTACAGCAATGTATTTATGATGTAATGAGCTTATCTCGCCTCAGAGATATTAATAATGACTAAGATATCTTTTCCTTTCCCGTTTCGGTTTTATACAAAGACAGCATGTAACCGCAATTTAACAAGGTCGTTCCAGAATGAATTGGCCTTTGATGACACAACGTTATATTTCCCAACTGTTCTTAACGATGGCAGTGATAATTTAGGACTATTTTGGAAAGAGGAAATACAATACTTTGGTTGAACTGATGCTGTAATATTGCGTGGGAAAAGTATTAATGCTGCCTGTGAGAACTTTAGAAAGACGTGAAGAACAACGTATGAATTGGATGATTCTTACATCAAGTAATACAAATATATATATCGTGTGTTCACTATGTTTGATGCAATAGAACTTGATAACATCTTGAGTCTTGTTCATGCGCATTTATTGTACATTATCAAAAAAAATTATCATTAATTAAGTTATAATTATCAAAAATAATCATCACTTGCAAGAATGAAAACAAAAGCCAGACCCGTATAATTTTGCTTTAATAAGTTTTTGAAGTATCTGTGTTTGACTCTGTTTTTAGGAGCTGCAGAAAAACAAAACATCGAAAAACTTTCATTTCATCACAAGGAAACTTAATAAGAATGGATGAAGCGAAAATTGCCGAATGGAGTGAGTTGTGCTACCCCCTGAAAGAAATCTTCGATAATTTTTCCTTGCCACTTCTTGTTATGGTCGATGAAGGTTACATGTTGAATGAAACCGAGAGCTTAGCCAGTGGACAGCTGATTACGATTCAAAGCCAAGAGGATGTGACACATTTTAAAGGAACAGGCTCTGATGGCAAGGTCATTAACATTCCAATTAAGTGTCCTTTCAAAATCAAGCTTGTTTCGCAGCAAGACGGTACAAAATACAAGGGTATTCGTGAGCTTTCAATAGCCAATCCGCGGCCAAAATACGTCGAGGTTGTATCAAAAGGGCGGAAGGATTCAAATCTTGTAAAAAACGGCGACAGACTGAAGATATTGCTATCTGAACGTGGCCCAAACGGGCCTACTTTTCTTCATTTTCGAAATCAACGGGGAAAACATATTCGAATGCCGATTGACTTTGGCGGAGAATATTGCGCATGTGCTGAGAGCGATCAAGAATATTCGCTAAGTGATCTCTGCAGTAAGGAACTGCCTTTGCTAGTTAAATTTGTTGATAAAAGTAAGAAGAATACAGTAAGCGAAACCGTTGGAGTTATCGAGCTTCATGAGTGCGTCAGCGAAACTCTGGTGTTTGCGACTACAAAGTTCGAAGGCAAGACTTACGCCACTGCTTTTCCTTTAACTTTCGACATAAAAGTGCGACCGATGGCGAATGCCCGAAGAAACCAAGGACAGTCTTTCGATCCAAGATCGGAACTTATCGATTTGGATTCGTTTCGCGACTATATGTCTAAGGAGAAGTTCTCGGTGAAGGTGGTTACGTCTGCTTTGCGCCCTACGATGCCATAGACAAAGCGTCTGAGTTGCCGTTACAAAAAGAAGGTGCGAAAAATTTGTCGGACAGCGAAGAAACTGGTGGATTGTCAAAAATCAATCAAGATAGCAACCATTACGAGGTGCCTATTCAAAGAAACGATCCCAAAAGAAAAAGTACAGGATTTCTTTCAAGAGTCAAGTCAAAATTACGCGGTTCCAAATCAGAGAATTTGAAACTGAAGCAAAGTAGGCCTGAAATAGTTGTGGTGAGAGAAAACGGCGCTTTATCTGATGGTGGAGATAGCGGGATTTACGAAGAAATACCAGGCGATACCTATGTTTCGATGGATATTATCGACGGTGTTCGAAGGACGCTCGGTGCAACGAAATCATCTGCTCCAAGGAAACGCTCGTTAACGAGGGTACGATCAGCTGCGTCACCGCCACCGCTGCCAGAAAACCATCCACTTGAACGCAGGCATACATTCTCGAATAAGCTTCGTAGTTCTAAAGCCGTTCAATCGAGGGTTAAATTGGAACAGGGATCTTCTACTCACGAAAGAGACAACTTTCGCAAGTTCTACGACAATATGAAGAAAAGCCAATTGGAATTATTGACAAGTGGTGTTGAAAATGTAGGTGTAATATTGAGCACTATAAAACTTGAGAAGCACAAGAAGAAATTTAAAGAGAATCAAATCGATGGAAAACTGCTAGCCGACCTTGATGAGGCTGTTTTCAAGGACATGGGCCTAACTCCTTTCGAGGCGAGAAAGCTGAGAAAATACGTGTTCGGCTGGCGACCGGAGAGTGAGCAGTGCAAACAAAAATGTGAATTTAAGTGTGACGACCTCGAGGCACAGAACTGGACAGAGGCCGAAGTTGAAAGCCATCTTACTGGCCTAGGCATGCATGATTTTGCAAGATTTTGTAAAAACAATCAAGTGAATGGAGATTTGCTGTGGGACCTTGTGGTGGATGAGGAAATGATAAATGGTTTATTGAAGGGTAAAAACTGTCGACTTAATGTTGTAAAACTTAAAAATTATATAACAGAGGGCTGGAGACCCAAGACGAACAAGAAAAACAGTGACGCTTCAAGTTACGGTGTTGCAAGGCTGAAAGTCAATGGCAAGAGGCCTGGAAACGAGGACACCGATATGAATTCGAAAAACAGCACTTATATGTCTTTGAAGTTTGATAAAACAAAAGAACCTACTTCATCTTCTGTTTATGAGATGGCTGTTTCAAAAAAGGTTGGTTCTAGGCCTGGATCCAATGAGCGACAGAATAGCGTCCGGTCAAGTACGCCTAATTCTTCTGCTTCTTCCGTGGTTGATAGCCCAAGAAGTGTTACTGGTGCCGGAATGAGCAAAGGCGGTTTGAAGAAGGATACTACGGAGCCGAAGGGGAGAAATCGATTGCAAGCTAAAGTTACCTATCCGAAGAACAGTCCATATGGGAAGACAGCATCTAAAGATAGAGGGCCGCTTGATAAATCACCGAATTCGCAGGTAGTAAGAGGGAATGCTTTAGCAAATGCTGGGACTAAAAAAGAGACAGAGAAACTTCCAAATCATCAATTACGAAGAAAGAGAGAATAAAGGGAAAAAGTAAGCAAGTAGCGAAAAAAAATGGAAATTCTGAACCACAAATTCTTGACGATGGAAAATATTCGGAAAATAGCAAATCAGGTGAACGTAGGAGTACAGGTGTTGTAAAAGGGGCATCTGCATTAGAAAAGGAACCTAATACAGGCTCGAAAGAAAGCTTAAAACAAACACGGAAAAGGACAATATCTTGGTTTAGTAGAAATAGTTCTAAATCATCACAAAAGAAGAAAGAGGACACTAGTGGCGCTTCATCAAAAAAGTTTTCTACAGGCGGGACTGTTAAAGCGAAGACAGATAGTGAAAAAGCAAAAAGTTCAGAAGACACAAAGCCTAAGACAAAATCGGCTGGCCTTAAAGACTCAAAGACAAAAACTGAAAATAAACAAACAACCAAAGTTGTTACGAAAACCCAAAGTAAAGTAAAGACGAAAGATGTCGATGACAAGAAAAAGTCTTTAGATCAAGACACAAACCCAAAGAGCCCCTCAGTAAGGAACTTGAAGCAGCAATATGAGAAACAAGAGACAGCAGAATTCGTTCAAGGTGCTCCTTTGCGAAGAAGTGGCAAGATTTCTTCGAGAACTGCGTTTAAAAGGAAGGATACAATGCCACCAAAGAAAACTGAAAATGAGGCAGCCGAAAAATCCTCCTCCTCGTCTGTTGCCCAATTAAGGAAGAAGTTTGATAATAAATAGACCACGTGTTTCTAAAATTCGAAGCTGTTATTCAAAGTAGAGCATTTTTAGCGTGGAGTTAACTTATATTTAGAGTTTATTCGGCTTAAACATCCACTTAACCAGAATTTTCCTCGCATAAGATAAATTCTTCCCCATCCATGACTGCGAATTCAGATACCCCCAAGCTATTCATTTTGGAATAGGAATCATTCAAAGTGTTAGTAGAAAGTGCTACAGGTGTTTTCAATTTGATCTAATTTTCATTTTGTGATATCGGTTCAAGAAGTATCTTTTTGTTAACATCCAAGATGCTTTATTTTATCAAGAATGTTCACTTTCCAAAATCAGAACTTACCTTAGCCCTGTTTCCTAATGCACCCTGTCAGTTTACATATATTCACGATATGAACATTGAACGATCCAAAAATATATTCTCACAGTTATATCTGATAATTTAGTTCTACAGACAAAATACATAAGAGCTTCTAGATCAAGCACAAAGCCATTATCAGTCTCATTTTAAATGCCCCCTTTGGATCAACATAGGACAATAATGACGAGTCCCCTATACATCCAAATTTTTTAACAAAATCCTTAGAACTCTTTCTTTGTGCATACGTATATATAATGTAATTATTTTGTTTTCACGCATAAAATAGACGTCTAGTTTTTAATAATTTGCATTAAATTAGTTAATTAAAGGCGAAAGTTTAAAGCTACCACATTATTGAATTTTAGTTCATTGCCCTCGTCAATTCAGGGCCGGACTAAGATGGGTGCTATTGGTGCTGCAGCGTTAGGCCCATCCCTGAAAGGGGCCCGGATGAAAACAGACGAGAATTTTCCTGGAGCTGAATAGGCCCAATAAAAAACTTTTTTGCTGCAGCATCAGGCCCTATTTGTGCCTAATCCGGATACTGGTCGTCATTAAAATATAAACAGTCGTCTCGGAATAAAGAAGGGGACTGTGAGGGCTTCAGCCCTTATATATTCTCAAAAGATATTTTTAGCTACTGCCCAAACATTTTAGCCCCTAGTTTTAGAATATCAAAAGCTTTTACCACTCCTCAATCGTTAATGTGCTCGTACTCCGTAGTTCTTGAATAATAATATTTTATTGAACCTCTGAAGCATACAGATCGTTAGCAATGTAGAAATAAGCCTCAATGCAAAAGCATATGACGATAGAGCTGGATAAGTATAAGACAGAGCTCTGGTCTTGAAATGAGTCCCGCTTCGAACAGAAATACGTCCTTAGTAAAACATTAAAAAAGAGATCCAGCATTCCTGTCGGTTGTGCAAACTAACCTTCAACCGCTTTATCTTGATATTTGTCAAGCTAAGATACCAAAATCCATTGTGGTAACTATTTTGGCTCTAATATCCTTTTCAAATGAACACAACGCTTTGATCGAACGATCTTTGAAGTCGAAGCATAGCCTGTGAAAAAACGAAGGAACTGAAGTGAAAGCAAAAGTAAACTAGGAGAATTTCAATAAAAGATCTTAGCACCAACATCTAGCTCGAGTGAAAGCTTAAAATTTAATAAATAACAATTAGAAAATTGTATTTTAGATATTCGAAAGTACTATGTTTAAGATTTATATCAGATACATAATTGAATTATAAACTCACATTTTAACTTATGGTGTGTTAGAATTATGCATCGATGTACTAAAGATAATAATTTTTATAAAGCATGTTTACCTGTGTGCAGATACACATACGGTTCCATAGGCAATTCATGGTTTTACTGCATTCGAGTGGTTCAATATTTGGAAGATTTCTTGTGGCCTGGCATATTCATACCTTCATGTATGCGCACTGTGGCGCCGCAAGCAATCAGGATTCTCTTAGGAAAAGAAGGCTGGGGTCCATTCATAGTGGAGTCAAAACATTGTGAAGTTATGTTACTGATTGCTAACGAAATGCATGTCCAGAACAAATTAGCTATAATTTTTTTATTGAATTGAAGTAAGCTTTATTTCCTTTCAAGGTGAAGAAGGTATATATTGCAAGGCAAAATATTTGTATTGCATTCACTTTTATGAAACCTAGTGCACAACAAAACGTTACACATATATGCACACAACTGAACATCATATGAAAATCAAATGTATAGTTAAGATTGAAATTGAAGTACATGCTACATGGGAATATATTTAACAAACTTAGACCTCTTGAAACAGTCAATAAAATTGGATCGAAAGTCAATGGATTGAGTTTTTTGTCACACTTTGTTCCATATTGGACCATAAATATTTTAACTAAAATTTATGGCCCTAAGGAAGCGAAGTTAATTGAACTAAGGCGTGTGCTTAAGAATTTTCAGTGTCATCATTTTTTAAAGTAGTTTCTAAACTCCCTTATACATGGGCTCCGAGACAGGTTGGAAAGTGGGGAGGGGCAAGAGAAAATTTAACACCTATAACAAAAAAGTTTGTGTAAAAACGTATATTGTTTTGCAGAAAAGTGAGGGGATCATGGCCCCCCGGCCCCCACTTCTCGGAGGTCCTGTTGAACAGCTGATTCTTATACCCATTTCTGGCTATATCAATCAACTGCTCATCAATGCCAATGTTTAGTCATTTTAATTAGGGGCCACAGAGGAACTCCACATTTTGAATACGCGCGAACCTTATCCCGTTTTCCTGTGTTTACTCCCCGTTTATCTATGCGTTTAGTCCTAGGCATTTATTGGTGTTTAACTTTTTAAGGGCCTATAAGTTGTACCAGTTCATCAGCATTCGTTGCAATGACAGAAAGTGTGTTGTCAACGGCAAAATTGCACAGTGATCCATTATCAAGGTAGTAAAAAATATAATTATAAGTGTATTAGAGCAGGGAACCAAGTAGCGACCCTTGCGGTACTCCTTGTCCAAGCCTACCCCAGGTGCAGTTGTCTTTTAACTACGACTTTTTGCTTTCTGCCGGTGACTTAGTTTTGTATAAGCAATAGAGAACTTCTTTCTACTCTGTAAGCAAGTAGTTTTGCAAAAAGAAGACTTTTAGGTAGACAGTCAAAGATTTCTATAAGTCCATAGGAATAGCATCGATGTATTTTCTGCTTTCTAGCCTTTTTCTAGTCATTAAAAAGTCTAAAAAAGAGCATACTTCGAAAAAAAGCTTTTTCTAATGGCACAACAAATTTGAGACTTTTTTTTTAAGAAAGGGCGAGAGTTGGAGCTCTATTGTTTTTTCAAATAATTTTGAAAGTGTTGTTAGTAGACCAATAGGTCTAATTTTCCTTATAAGAGGTATCTTTTGGAGCGGACTATGTGATTGTGTATGTATAGTTATAAAAAAGAGACATCTTTTGGTTACACCGCTAGACCAATCCCAAGACCGCTGTGTAGTCAAAATGTTAGGATGTTAACACTTTTACTTTTACATGTTAAGCATTCAGGTCTCGACACGCAAACTTTTTTTATCTTCCTTACATTATCAAAAGTGCTTGAGGAAACGACTGAGAGCCAGGTTCTCGAAGAAATATCACTTATGACGTCATAAAAGACTTACGTACCATTGGAGCCAAATGGTAGGTAAATAAATAGTACTTCAGCTGAAAGGAAGCTGTGATACCAAAAAGTAGGGCAAAAGCAAAAGAGGAGAGCCTCTACGAACAACTAATTAAGTCAATATTTTAAAAGTATATTACATTTGTCGTGTAATTAAGCTTTAGTTTTGACATAGTTATCTTCAGCTATTACAAAATTTGAAACCCCTGCAATTGACACATTTTAATGACAGTAATGTCAGAACCACAATGTCCCCTAGCTTTTCATCATTGCCATACCCCACAATATATCCACGAGAATCATGCCACCCTTGCTCGCAAAGGGTTGTCCCTATAATCCCCACTCCTTAACCTAAACAACCAGCCATTCATCTCAAACCCTAATAGGACCGTCATATTCTACCCCTTTATGGTCATAACATCTTACCCTTAGAGGGTCATCTATCTAAACGGTCCCGGGTAAACGTCAAAGTTCTTGAAAGTTTTGTCAAAGCATTGATTACAAAAGTTACCACAACGTGAATTTTCAGTCACCTCTTAACTTTCAAACAAAATTCGAACATAAATACACAATTTCTCAATAAAAGTCATAAAATACTGGTACACAAATACCATAACTAAAAAAAAAGCGAGTTTTGAAAAAAACATGAGGCAAGAAAGGGGCACTTTAAAGTGGTTGTGACTTCTTAAAAAAAGGGTTGAGTGGTTGTGATAAAAGGGTGAAGAGGGAGCGATAAACGGTCAAATTGAGATACAAAACGGGGGAGAATTGAAATTGTAACGGAACGATCAAAGTTTCTGATAACTTATCGAGACAACTATTTATATTCTAACTTGACAGCGAGCATATATACTTGCTAAAAGATTACAATTTCAATTTCTTAAGTATCCTCAGGCAATCGCTAATGCACTGGGTGCTTGAGACATGATAATACTAACAATAAACGTAATTTTCTTCACAAATATCCGCATCCTACAACTTTGCAGATACGGTGAAATATGGAAAGATTATAAATCCTGTTTATAAAATTTTCTACCTCTAATAAATTATGAATTTCCTAATTAACATTCATGCTACACAGAGGTGCTACAACTACCCTGGTCCCTTCCATTGGCACTTTCACCAGTGGCTGTTTCCTCTTGAGCACCCTGTTTCTCTGGCATTATGACAATCACAGTTGCGTTTCTGTTAACGGAGAGATTTCCCGCCGGCGTTAATATCGTTCGAAAGTTTTCACTGCACTGGCAACTGGAGTTAGTCTGGTGCGAAGTTAGTCGAGTATCAGCCGAAGTTGCAGAGCCAGTCGTCTTTGGGGCTATTTCGATTATGCTTGGCGAAACTTGATTAATCTGGCAGGCATGTGGGTTATGCTCAACCCGCCCTGGGTTTTGAATAAACCTAAGCTTTACAGACTTCCATAACTGAAACAGCGGATCGAAGTCTTCTGTGACATCCAGACCGTCGTCAAAAGCCTTTTGAAACTTGGCTTTCCTAACTGGATCAAGCACCTCTTCCAAGGCACGAAGTTCTGCAATGTTGGACTGACCGCGGATGAATGCATCCGAACGAATATCAGGCGATGAATACCGTAATGACACTCCTGACAATGGGTAAGCCTTTGGTGCGCTTGGCCTGCTCTCAGCATATGGACTCGGTCGTTTACGCGATAGAGTACCCGGCCCAGTGTGAATAACTCGTTGAAACTGAGCCATAGGATTCCTTACAGAGGCAGGGGGCGATAGTAAGTGTCTGTCGTATAAATTGACCTCCGTTACTTTGGGCATATGAAGTCGTTTCTGCGGCGCCATTGTTGGGGAGATCACATGTTCCATTGATACCCCGGGTAAACTGTCACAAGAACCTTTTTGAGGTCCTGAATTCGGCAGGCTTGTGACACTTGAACTCAGGGCAACCATACTTGAGCTTCCCTCGTCGCTACAGGAGGAGAACTCATCAGTGGAATTCGAAATTTCTGGGAAATCTTCCCGGAATTCATCCTCATCGTTCATCATCTGTGTGATGATTGGAGGATCATTAAGAGGCTGATTCAAAATGCTCATCGTTGGCCTTGTTATCCTACCGCTCGGCCGCACGAAATTCTGATTTCCGTCCACATGCTTGTCGAAATTCCCAAGATTACTTCGCGGGTTTTTCATCGCTATATTCACTAAGCTATCTTTTCTTCTTCCCTGCAAGTTTAAATCCGGATCAGGGCCTAAAATTGGGTTCAGTCTTTCAGGGCCGAAGTCATCACCTTCAAAGACTGTGTTTAAATTTGCTGTGGTGATATTCTGGCGAGAAAACGGAAAGATTCCAACAGATTTGAATCGATCGGTGACAACAACTTCACTTGAGACATTACCCCAGAACTCTTTAAAGATTTCTGTGAAAGCTTGATTAGTAATAAAAGTATTATGAGGCTCATGGTTAACAGCGACATTCTTCCAAGTTTCACTAAAAACCCCGTCAAGTGAAAGATCCATAGGCTGGAGCTCTTGAGATAAAACGGCTGGGATACAAAACATTATGACGTCATTTACAGAGGCAGCCATTAACATTTCTCGCGTTACTAAGCAATTTTGGCCATCGTATATTAGAATACAAGGCCCGCGTCTCGCGAGATTCTGCAGAAAGATGTCATGAAACCATACGAGGAAAAAATCATCATCAAGTCGATCTTGAGCATACTTCTCGAAGTTTCCCCTGGGCGTGTCCCGATTGTCTGACATGTGGATAAACAAAGGTGGAAGAGATTGGCCTAGTGCATTCACACAAGTAATCACCGAGACTTCACGTGGTTTTGACATTCTCGTGTCGTTATCTAAAGATACTGAAATTTTACCATCAACTCGCGAGACTGCATGATCTCCTGCATCAGTATTCATTTCTTCACAAGCTTCTTGGCCAGTTTTCCCCATTTCCGATTTATACTGATTAAACCGTTTTGCCATATCATTTAAGTCAAAAGAACTCTCGTTACAACTGAAAATCAATTCAGAATGTTCAAGAAAATTTATACCATATTTATTCGATGTTAACCCATCAAACAGTTGTTGCGTGCAATTACTAAGCAACATATCCCTCACTCGTTGTTTTTGCATTCCGTAAAATTCCTCTGATTCATTTGCTAACGGTTGATTGTGTCTTGCACAAAACGACTGCCACCACTTTGTACTAGGAAAAGGTTCCCCTGAAACGTTTCCATTCTTCTTCACCGTCTTTCCTGCCATGTACATGATCATATCTTTGGCTTTTCCATATCCTTGCTTTCTCATGATTTTGTAGTAGTCTATCAGCGCCCTTTCATCCTGAGCACTTAAAGCTGAGGTGGTAACTGCTCTTTTTGCACTTCTTACTTTCCCTAAACACACCAAAGGCAAAATCAAAAACACTTACTATTGTTTGGATATTGTAAATAAACTTTTTAGTGTGTCAAATATGAAAAATGTGTGATATTCTGGGGGTAACAAAACCACAAAATAATGGTATGGAAATAATGAGAAATGAAGCTGTTCCTTGCCACAAAAGTTCGTCTACCGGCAAGCTTGGCATTATCAATTAAATATAGACAGGGAATTTTTCCCAACAAAGTGGCGGAGAGGGTAACCGGAGGTTTTCTATTTGTTTCTATTACCTTGGGCTAATATATTAAAATTTTTAATGGTGTCCAAAACAAATCATCCCCAGGTATCACGTGATCGATGTCGTAATGACGTAAATAGTAACGGCCTCAAAAAATTGAAAATAGTCAAATTTGAAAAAACATCAATCGAAAGAGTGTGAAAAACTGAACAAAAATGCTTAGAAACATATATTCTATATGTTAGAAACATATGTCGAAGTGTTGATCACGTCATCATATGCGTATGGGAAATTGGTAATTCTCGCCATTTTGGACTCAATGTAAAAATTGTGGAAACATTAATTTTTTAAGCCTATTGTTCTTCAAAATTTCAAGATAGCACAGAAAGGTGAACACATTCCAAACTGGCACGTTTTTGTCAGACAATATAGGGCAGAGGTGGGCAACCTTTCTGAAGACTGGACATGATCCTTGAAACATTTTTATTGTAATTAAATAATAATAATAATAATAATAATCATCACCATCATAATAATCATAATAAACCCTATATCACGCCAAAAAAAGAATTATGGAAACCATTAGCGAGAACTGGAAGGCAAAGCCTATGCATGGGCAATATCCTGAAAGAGCAAACAGATCAGATACAAATAAAGAAAACGTTTACAAATCGCTGAAAAGTTCCAGTCTAAAGGGGAAACAGAAGGATTTATTATTGCAGCACAGGACCAAAGCCTTGCCACGAACAACTACCGGAATAAGATCATGAAAGATGGAACAAACCCAAAGTGTAGACTGTGCCATGACTATGATGAAACCATAGAGCACATCACATCAGGATGCCCTGTTCTGGCAAAAAGGGAATACCTTGAACGACACGACAAGGCATTAATCTACATGCATTGGAAGATATGTAAATATTACAATGTTGAGGTGCCCTTAGATGGTATGAACATAAACCAAGCACTGTCGTAGAAGGGAAGGATGTGGTGATATTGTGGGATATGCCAATACATACTGACAAGGAGATTACTGCAAACAGACCAGACATTATAATCAAAGACAAGAAGGAAAACAAATGCATTTTCATTGACATGTCTGTCCCATCTAAGCGAAATGTTGCAAGCAAAGAAATAGAAAAGTTATCAAAATACAAAGATCTTGAGATAGAGGTTACCAAAATGTGGCAGATGAAAAAAACTGTTATTCCCGTCATAATAGGAGCCCTTGGACTCGTAAGAAAACGTATGAATGAACATGCATCAAAGATTCCTGGAAAGATCAGCATCAAAGAAATCCAAAAGATAGTCTTGCTAGGAACATCACATATCCTGAGGAGAGCTTTATCTCTAACCTGAAAACGAGCTGAACTTTTAAGCCTTAGGACCATAGTTTGGTCTCGGCCTCTTAAGAGAACAATGCAAAAACAAACTGAAGATAATAATAATAATAAAAAACTTTCATATTCAGTTACACCACAATAACAAACCTCTTGCTTACATAGATAGTTTGGAGCGATAGAAAAGACTGCCACAATCATAAGTGCAAAAGGGAAAAACAAATAAAAAATTAAAAAGGATGTCATTCAGGGTCTGGAGAAAACATCCTAAAAAGGGAATGCAGAATTATCTGCCAATCAATGTTTAGAATCGCCCCTTTAGCGCAGACCATTCACTTAGATATATATATAAACATAAATTTATCCTATATAGGCCCCTAGCACACCAGCAACTGAGACTTGACAAAATAGGGACAGCCATGACCCCTGCTCAACTGCCATGAGTGCACCCAGCAAGATTCATACTTGCTGCATTTGTTAACTTTTGTCCAGTTTCTCAAAGTTTCTGCTGTCCTGTCTTTAAGCAGGACGAATTTGTGACAATGGATAATGGATTTGAATTGATGTGTTTCATTTAATATTTGTGACCTGTGGGAAAATCATCCTTGCCAACCAAAAAAATTATAATAGGATATTTTTCATCTGGCAGAAGTTCTATGAGGTGAATTGACCAGCAAATCCTTCTATATTTTACTTGTTTAGCTATTTGGGCATGCTAGCACCATCAGAAATGCTTTTCAGGAGGACCAAGGGAAATATTCATCATATATAATGTTTCAAAATAAGCTACACCAAATTAACACATAGAGTTAAATTTAACTTACATCTACAATTATTTCAGACAAAATTCCAAAGCAAATTCAAAATTGAGGCCTCTAATACCTTTTTTAATACACAATTTTCCTGCAATGAATCAGGTCACACATATTTCTGACAAACAATAACTGTCTGAGACTTTTTATGGCACCAAGATTTGTCAAATGGCAAATGATTGTAAAGCAAAAAGTTTTGTTTCCACAAATTCTTTTTGAAAATATTATGGAAGGCAATTGAAATTTCTTACTTTCAAAAATTCATTCATTTGTAGCTATATTCATATAAAGCAATGGACAAAAAAATAATTCATTAGTCCATTTGCTGTAAAAAACTAGTATTTAACAAACATATATACCTGTAACCCTGTCCCTCAAGGTTGTTCTTGGAATATTCAAACTCTGGGCTGCCTTTGTTATTGACATTCCTTGTTTCACAAGTAACATTGCAGATATCATGTCCTGAGAAGTCCATGGTGCTCTGGAGCCTTTCTTCCTCTCACTTGCAGAGTAAATATCTGACAGATCTTCAGAATCTATTCTTTGTTTTATCAGACCATGCTGATGAGGCTCCATATCTGGGAAAGAAAATTTGTTGTTAAAATCCAGCCCTTTATTAAAATGGAACAAAAGAGACGAAAAAACCAGGATGATAAAAAACCACAAACTGAACAAAAATTTTCTGAATCAATTCTACCTAAAATATTTAATTACAATGCAAGTGGTAAGGGGGATTGTTCTAAAGATTTTGGTACCACTCAGAAGACAACCATGTACTTTATAAATAAGAATAAATAAACATTGACTCACAGGGAGACCATTCAAACAAAAGGTGATGATAACTGAGTCAAATCAAGATCAAAGGAATAAAAAACTCTAATATGAAGGACCTGGCGGCCAAAAAAATTTGCACTTTAATTGAACAACTTGAAATATGATATTACAGTCTAGAATTTTTGATAAGCTGGTTAGTCGTTTTTGTTCTGAGAAATTCTCTTACTCAACAGGTAGAGTTTCAGATAAGTCTTCGATTATTATTCTAAATTCACCAATGTAGTTAAACTAATTAATTTTGATTGATCTTTACGCCAAATAAGATGCTGTTAGGCCACTTCAAACACATTAGCAGCCTATTAATATTCATGTAAATAATACATTATTTACAGTTTGAAACCTGATATCTTGATTGAATACGAAAAAATTGGAATTCAAGATACTTCTATGAAAATACGAAAATTTTAGACAAAACACTAGATGACCTGGGTCTTCCCCTGTACCTTGGAGACGGTTTGAAAATGTCTTGGCCTTGGAAGATAAAAAACCAAGGTTCACTGATAAAAATTTGAAGAAATCAGAGAGTTTTCAAATATTTTGAGCAAATTGAGCAAAAACATAACCTATCGCATGCGGAACGTTTCCTGTCGACCAAAAATTAGGGAGATTTGTCGCGATCAAATTAAACGGTATCAGTTTGGCTCTACAGGAGTTGCTGTCAGTTTGTTCCAAAATTTCTTGAAACATACTTGAAGCTTACCATAAGGACTGTATAAACACAAAATTTAGGAAAATATCTAATGATGCCCTTTTGAAGGGAAGGATGACAAGGCAATTTCGGTCCATTGGATGGATTATTAGCTAGTACCCACAAGCTTTGGAGGGCCTAGGCAGGACCACGTTTTGCCTCTCACATTTATAATGATGTAATCGTGTTGACTTTAAAAGAAACTTAAAAACAATTTACCTTGTGCATTGGTTTGCCTTGTCCGTGGAGAACTGTAGTTGTTGCAATATACGATGTTTTTATCGGCCCGTGTAATGATTGTTGTCGACGGCAGCTTGGCGTGATAGTACACGGTCTGCACGGTTCGCCAAAGGTAACCCGCAGGGGCTTTGCCGCGCTGGTCGCCTGCTGGTGACCGCTGATGAACGGAATATCCGCTGTTAGAAAAAGCGCTCCGACCCTACAAGCATGGATTATTTATCTTTGCTGACCGACATGACATATTAAGGGCGATCACATCGGTTTCTTGATGAACGAGCTTTTGTTCGTAATGCTGGGTGGAGGTAATGAAGGTTATAGCTAAAGTGACAACTAGTTTGCGATCTTTGCGGTGGAAGAAAGGGTACTTGATAAGACACAAGGTAGACTAGCCCCCAAGATGCGGAGTCGTAGAATGAAGAAAATCTGGTTGTAAACTATTAATAATGAAAATTGCTTAGAATAGCGCGAGCCATACCTCCAATCATCCCAAGTACAGGGAAGGGCTAATGAAAAGTGAAGGAGAGGGGGGGGGCAAATTTGTAAATTGATCCAATAATTTACCAAATGTGTCTGCTTCTTGCATTTTATATAGTACGTTTTGTCATTGTTTGCTTCAATGCTGTATTCTGTTAAAAATGAGTTATATCTGCGTTTGAAAATTATTTGAGTGGAAGGTCGATCGACTGATAAGTTGCTCTAGATAAGGCCTAGATAAAAACATTGCTGAAATAAGCACTGCAACAGCCAATCAATGCCAGAGCAGCGAGAACTGTGAAGGACCTAGTTTATGGGATGACGAAATTGTTAAGACAGCTGGCTGGCAGACCTTAAGTTATCTGTGTAAAAAGAGCATGTTGATTATCATGAGTGACTGTATCAACGAAAGGACAGATGAACGGTTAGAGAAAATGAGAGTGGAAATAAACAAACGTCTTAATAACAATAAGCTGATATTACAAAGACCAAGAACAGGGAAAGGGAGCATGAAATTGAAATTAAGAGGTACAATTTTATGGAATAGTTTAAGTAATGAAGACAGAGATATAAAGAGTAAGAGTGCATTTAAAGAAAAGCTAAAGAAATTGAAAGAGAAATAAATAATACAACTTTCGGAGAAAGGACAACAACAACACGATTTAGAAATGACAATTTTGTGCATTTCTAGAGATTTCTTTAATTATGCCAATCTTTGGAAATATGCTTTAACTTCATTTTCCTTATAAATTGTAAAATTAGCCCTCTATTAAACCATATTTTTTAGTAGATAGTAGCTTCACATCTGCAGTATTGTAGCCACAAATAACCTGCTTCAGCAAAAATATATGATGATTATGATGATGATGATGAAATACCAGGGTACTTTGAAATACAAGGAGATGATGAATAAAATATCCCCAGTTTTTAAATCAGCTTTAATTCAGTACTCAAAAAGCCATATATTCCGTGGTAAAATGCTATTTATTTGTCGTATCCTTCCTTTTAGTGTAAAGACTTTCTACAACGTAAACGCGAAGAAAATAATTAGAGGAAGGGGCACAAGAAAAAGAGTCCTGTTTCTTTCCCCTTTTTCAATGTCATTTCTTTTAACGCTCTTGTCTTCTTGGGCATATTTGTAGTCGCTGATTAAATCGGAGGTCGTGTTAGACTTTTCTCCTCTGCATCTTTCCACCCCTTTTTTGCACACCCTTACCCTATGCAACGCTCCTAGAACCCAGGTAAGTTCCATGAATAAATACTGCATCGACAAAAATAATTGATGCTCAATGCTTTGCATGACTTGAAAATAATGTTGCCTTGTCGGTTCTAACTGGCGGCCCTCCTTTGGCGTTAATTGAGGTTTTTGTGGCGATAATACTGGTAGGTATAAAGACCGACATTAATTGGGTCAGCCGCAAATAGGCCGAAATTAGGCATAGATATAACCTTGAGACAAAAACATCAATTATATTATGCCTGTTAATGTTATCTTTCTATTCTATAAACGTATTTTATCTCAATATTTTATTCCCTTTATATTGGCCCAGGTACTTAGAGAGACTTTTTGTTGTTGGACTGTCGATCAATGATTACTTTTGTTGTCAAAAGCAACTTTTGATCAAACAGGAATAGTTATAATTTCCTATACATCATGCGGCCAGTTTGGAAACAAGACTTAAACCAGAATGCAACGAAATTTTAATCGCAGTTTCATACTCCATGGCTTTTATATTACTTTATGCAATGGCAGCGCCAGCTGCATTAGAGTGAGATGAAATTGGGTGGTACCCACAAAACCACGGCTCATTTCTTACCCAAATCTTTAAAAGATATCACCTACCTCTATTTATGTATTTTTGAAATATGTGAAGCATGTTTTGACAACAGCGGCTGGTAATTACTCCCCAATACCACCCCCTGGCCCAACCATTTGACCACTGAACCTATGTCATCAGAATTAACTTCTTTCAACTCTAAACAATATGTTACAGTCATTTTTATGTTTGAGGCAGATTCAAGCTTGAATCATTTTGCATATGTATCTGGAAACTCTTTTGTAGCTCGCAATACATATGTTGAAACAAATTTATTACAAAGAGCAAAACTAGTACACCTCATAAAGATCTGAAGTATCTTTCAACTAAAATGTACACAAAACAGAATTATAACAAAGCATAATTCATCGTTCTTGGGCAGATTTATCTCTAAAAGTAGAGCATTCACAGTTTTTAACACTTTAAAATTGACATATCAAAGAGAATTTTGCTAAACCATCAGAAGACACTGTTTTCTGATGTTTCTTTTTAGCTAATATTTTTCAGCAATCACTTGACCTACCTAATTTACTGTTCTTATCCAAAGTTTGATTGCATTTATAGTGAGATTTATACTGCAAAATGTTGTCAATACCAAAGCTTTTAATTTGTTTTTGAATCAAAATGTCAATTTAAATATGATAGAAAAATGATGCTTTTCGTAAAGCAGAAGATTGGGCTCTGAAAAGAATTCGAGCCAGAGTCCTATGTTTTTGCAAAAGCTAAAAGACAGTCCGTTAAGATACTGTCAAATAATGTTTTCTAATCTAAATGCTAAGAACAATGAAATTAGGAAAGATAGCAAAAATAGAGAGCAAAGGAAGAATTTGTTGAATAAGAAGAACTATCAAATTGATAAAGAACAGTAGCATTTTCGCTAATAATTTCATGTTTTTGTTTATTGAGTGTTCGTAAAACATTTATGTTACATTCAAATCTATGTTTTTGCTTGGGGTAAGTAAGATTGTGATAGCGGTTATTTTAAAAAAGGCACACTTTCATCAAGATGAAGCCCCAAATAGATCGACAATCAATTATATATCGAAACTTTTTGTCTATGAAAGTTTGGTGGGCCCAGCCTTTAAATGCATCCTTGAGGGAATCGATTTTTCCTTTTTACAATTAACAACAAACTTTGATTCTATAGGTCACTTTTTGCGCATGTTTTGGGTAAATCAGGGAAATCTAAAGCTTCAAAAATTGGGTTTTCCATATTATTTTAATCGTTGAAATTCAAAAAAGAAGCCGGAGAGAAGGACTGGTAAAGCTATTAAGTTAGTATTGTAAATGAAAAGCCTCAACTTTAGCTGAACAATTTTGATCTCATTTGTTGCCAATTTTGACCTCTTTTGTGGGACGTCTTGTGTCCTTAGATCTGGAGTGCAAAGGATAGATAAGAGGATTCATTCATCACAGGAGACAAATTTAGCAAATGTTTTTCACATTTGTATGAATACAATAATTCGGTTGTTAACCTGTGTTGTATTACTAATTTGCACAGAAAGTGAAAAACAAATGTTTCAGAGAAAAGGTGAGAGCAATGAAAGGGAATGATCAAGTTAGGGAGCATTTGATATTACGAAGAAACAAATGAGCTTTGTCCAGAATGAGCTTGGCTTCAGAATTCTTTTTGCCTAGCCCTTCAGCCCTTTATACAGGGACGCCGGAGCGGGGGCGTGGAGGGTAAACCATCCCTGTTGCCTTGTGACAAGAGGGGCAAGGGGGGCCGAAATAGCCTTACGTCTACATAAGGCGCTAACATGTTAGCTTTACCCTTTGTATTAATTCATGGATTCAATTTACACTAAATAAACCCAGGCCTTGCAATGTTTGTGTTCTTAATCCAAATATTTTCACTTTTCTTCTGCTCTTTATATCCACCATTCATTGGCAACTTTTTCGATTTCAAAACATGAAATCTTTGATTTCATCATTCACTTTAGATTTAATCCTCTTTTTTAAAAGAGATTTGGTAATCTTTCAATGGATGATTCTGCCAAGGCGAAATTTGTTTTCTCGTACAAGGACGACAAGGAGAAAATGGCTCATTTAATGTGACAAACGTGACAAACAAAATCTCAGGGGGGCAATAATTTGCCGTAGAGGTGTCGGTAACTAAAATGTTAGGAAAAAGTTTTTAAGAAGTCGTTAAGAGTCATTTGAATCTCAACTGGGCACTTGACTACTTTAATCTACTGAAATGTATCGTTTCACAGATGAAGAACGAGCGAATTAACCTTTATGGTTGTAGTCATGGAGATTGTAACTGAACCGAATAACTGAAGTTTTTAATCTGATAAATATAATCAAGACAATTAATGCTTCCGTAGAGTTTGCTGCCAAACATTACTTTTTTCGAAAATATAACTGCGAAACAATCTACTTGCTCTTTAAAACAACGGCGATAGAAAATGAGATGCTTATTTTTTCTCACATATAAATAAAGACCCCAGTTACAGGCGCTAGGTTGCACACAGTTGGTATCGAGTTGGTATGGTATTTAATTGATGTCATATTTCTCAAGCTGATAATAACAGCTGCCGCGCAGAGGTACCTGTCACTCTCTATCCCACTACAAAATAACCAAAATATCCTACAACATTGACAATATTATTGGTATCAATATTGAGTTCATTTAATAGCACTCAAGGGTGTAGTGCCTTTTAAAAGAAGGGGGCCACGTATACAAAATGCTGCAAAAACAATGCAAAAGCAGAAATGGGCTACTTTTCTCAACCATGGCCTCCCTAGAATTACAGTCATATTTAACGTTTTATAAGAACAATTTAGTATTACTTGTATGGTTTAGGTTACGGGGCAATAGCTGCAACTTTTGATATACTACCGATATCTAAAATGTTGAGCTGCAAGCATCGAGATGAAATAATAATTTCATCTTGCAAGCATTTGAAACCTTTTGTCGAAAAATGTTCGAAGATAAATAGTGTGTGCCATATGTTGACACCATGATTAATTTGCAGCTGCTCGAACATCATTTGAAATTATGGTAATGATTAAGCTAATTGACGATTCTCTCAAAGTACGTTTAATTCTTGTTGAGATTTATTTTTGGATGACAGCACAACAGGCTGGAAGGAGCACAACAGGCAGCGAATTTAAAAACTATAGGTATGTTTCTAAACAGCTCCTGATTTAATTTTATTGACACTTTCATTTCTCTTAGGCCAGTGAACAAAGTCTCTTCAATGAATATTAATTCAGTTGAAGAAATTTCTTACCAATTTTATCAGATAGCAAGTATATCTTTGGGTTGTCATGTCTGCTTGAGAAGTATGACAAGGAAGCACCTGTAAGAAATCTTTGTTCACTTTCTGTTCAACGTTTATGTGACATTCAGCAAGATGTTAAATCTCCAAAAAAGCTGGCCAGATGATAGATTATAAAATTCACCGAGATTGTATCTTTTACCAAAGGGTAGCAAACCAAGTGCAGATTACCATAAGCCTCACAAAAGGAACAGTAACCCTTTTGTCTTCCAAATTTTTTGCGGGAAATTTGAAGCACGACATTAAATGAAGATTAGGACGGCGAGGAGCGACTTGTTTACTTACGTTGGATGTTAAGTGGGAAAGCCGTGTTACCTTGCAAAAGTTCTGGAATTTTTGACAGGAATGGAAGGATGGCCAACTCATTAAATGGCGAATTTGGTGAAGATGTTGTCGAGGTAAAGTAAACTCTTTTAATTGTTTAGGAGTACTATTTGTTTTAAAGAAGGCGAAGGTTAGTTTTGCACGTTGTCACCAAAACTGTCAAGAGTTACTTGAAGTTCATCATTAATTTTGAATTGATTTTATAATTTCTTTAAACTGATACGATGCCTCATAGTTATTAAGATGTTCAGTTTAACAATAGGCCTATTTGTAATTTGTTGTTCAGTAAGTCGGCATTTTGCAGTCATGGAGTTCGTAAAAGCGGGCTTCAGACTTTCGAAAATCTGCGGAATTCAGTAATTTGTGACCAACCACAGTTTAATCAACTTTGGTCGTTGCTACATCTTAGAATGTCTTCATCCTGCTTGTCATCTCAAAATTACCACAAATGCTGGGTACCTGTCAATTTGTAGGACTAAAGAAATCAATTCTTAAAAGTTTTATTTGGCGTGTTTTTAATTGAGCTGGGATTAAATTACCGAAATGAGCGAATAGAATTGATACGATTTCATCGATGTCAGTAAAATTTTGATCAAAATACTATCTTCTTAGTGTCCGTTATGAATAAAAGAAAGATTGTGTTGTAGCTGGTTGAGGACAAACTTCTTTTTCAGACTTTCTTTTTTGGATTTGGAAAGATTTCTTTCTTGGAAAGTTTTCTTTCTTGGAAAGTTTTCTAATGTTCTGTAAGTTATACTAGCCAAACCATATCAGAAAAAAGCTGCGATTTAAAAGCTAAGATCATTGCTTGTTTTATACTCTGTCATCAACTTTTCCACTTTTTCAATTTTTTTCTATATCTACTGAAATGAAAGTTAGATTGAAAATTCCATGTCACTAGCAGAACTGGAGTTGAATATGTCAACACTTTAAGAGTTCTTAGATTCTCAATCTAAACTGCAGTTAACCTATTTTAAACTGGGATTAAAGAGCTTTGCATTGCTCAAAGCTAATTTTCTGCAAAAGAGCTTCCTCTTTCAGCTGCCCAGATTCACTTATCATTGACGATTAAAGTGAAAAGGACTGTACACTGCTGAAGGACAGTAGTGTAGTCATGGTGGTAGGATTAAAAGGAGTAAATGCAAATCAAGTAGTGCAGTTCTAGACAGTAAGGGTCAAATGGCTTACCAGAAATTTCTTGTGACCACAAGCTTTAGAATGCTGGAAGACAATCCATTTTGAAAAATAATTGAGCATAAGTTATTCCTATGATTTTTCAATAGCATATTGCTGAACTTGGACTTTATAAACAATTGAATCTTCTGCTCAATCAAGGGGGAGGTATACAACTTTGTCCCCATTTTGCTACACAATTCATATTATTTTAACAAAGTAATGTCCAGTGGCAGACACTTGGGGGACAAGGGGGGCCACCACCCCTAATAATTTTAAGGGCAATGGTCTTGTATTCTAAAACAATGAGAAATGTGAAGTCATCTTATTAAAACAATAGGCTCCCCCCAATATTTGATGAAGTGTCCGTCCCAGGTAATATCTTGTAGGTGTTATCCATGTGAGCAATAGAAATGATTTATTTGTGCAGGAAGTTTATTGTATGTGTGAGGTTTTTCACATTGTGATGATATTGAATCTGGCAGATATATTGTTTGGTTGGTTCAACATTTTGTTATGACTAGGTGTAAGTGAAGCTTCATCACAAAAGTTGTTTTGCAAGATCAGTGCTTCCCTCAGAATTTAGCCTAAATACTAGGACTTGACTCTGAGAATTTTGATCCATATTTACTTTAGAAATATGTGATGTGTTTATTTTGAGAATGCATATATCCTTTGAAGTTTGGCTAATTCTTTGAACCAATATATAAGCAGTCTAGAAATAAGCTTCTTTATGATTTTCTGTCTCAAAACAAGTAATTGAGCTTTTTAAATGCTGGGAAAAATGCACTGAGTTTTTGTTGGAGTGGCCAGTTCTCAGTCAGGTTCAGGGACAGTTGCTCCCCAACAACCCCTATCAGAATTTTGGCCTCTATCCAGAAATACAAGGTTCAGAAAAGGATTCATATGTCTTCCAGACAATTCCCATAGCTTTTAAAACCTTTCTCTGAAAACAAAAAAGACAGACTTCAGGATTGGTACTTTTTTATACTGTTTCATGGGCCTTCCTCATGTCCTTCAACCCTTTGAATGTCACATTTCCCAGCAAATAGATAATACTCACACAAAGATGGTCGCATGGACCTGTCATTTTCCAGAATATCATTGTCATCAAAATTAATGACACATGGCTATGTAGGTTTAAATTACATTTTTGAAAGAAGATTATCTGTTTTTTTTTGCCTTTATATAATTAAATGGATTTGTTTGTTTTTTTCCTTAATTTTTAAATAAAACATAATTTTACTGACATAGATGACCTGTTGCAATTGTCCTCTCTTTGCACAATTTGCTAGTATTAAGGATATATTTTTCCATCTTTTTTATTTTTCTGGCCCATGACCACATAATGTTTGTGAAATATGGAATATTTTCACAAAAGTAACAATTTTCATTGCTATTAACTATATCAGTTACAATCAAGTTTGAATTTTGTTTTTGTTTCCAAAAGCTTGCTGTCAGAATTACAAAAATTGTTTTATCATAGAGGACGTGCTGTTAGTATGACACATAAAATAATATATGAAAATCGTACAATTTGGACAAAAATAAGAAACATTATTTGATTGCAGTTCATTTTAATGTGTTTTTATGTATCTTTGATTGCATAAACGTTTCTCAAAATCATTTAGAAAAGAATTGGAGGAAGCAGCCAACTCTTAAAGCCCTTGTAGCGTTTTAGCCCTTGGTGAGAATCACAACAAAAGACAAATCACATCTGTTTTAAGCAATAATACAAAGCCTTGACAACGCAAAAAGTCTCCGAAACAATATAGAAAACCAATATGTCAAGTGTGTGTGTGTTTTCCCATTGACTTATGATTCGATCTTCAATGAACACAGCCCACAATGTTTATTTTGCCACTTTATTTGTTAAGAGGACAGTGGACTTGTCATGTAAGCATGCTCGTGCGGTCGAGAGGAAGACTTTGTCCTGAGAAATAGCACAGATGGCCGTGTGCTAATTTTAACCGTTTATGGTCAAGGTCGTATTGTCAAGTTTAATTTAATCATATTTTTAACAACCTTTTCTTGTAAAGCTGTTAGAACGATATAAAAATTTCATTTTAATCAGATTTTCCCTTCTTACTCAAGGTATCCAGATGGCTAAAACTCCCCCGCCTGTCTCCTGCCCATTTCAAGCCAGATTCCCATCCCCCCTAAGTCTCTTACCAATTTTAATTCAAAACTCCCCCGCCTGTACTTTGCATTGTCGTATCTTTTTTCACCTCTAGAAAGTTGCCTTTCTGAGACAAATGCACCTGAAACCTGTTTCCTACACCTTTTCTCATTCAATTCCTTCATAAAAGTCTTTGGTTTTCAAAAGACCCCTTGATAAGAAATTAATGTTTTATCCTAAATTTTATAAGGTCTCATTAATTTTCTAAAAAACCTGAAACTGTGCGAAGATGTCATTCTTGCTTCTCGGGCGTGTTTCTCTTGACGCTAGTTGAAACCTGTGACTGTTCTTTGTTTCACCTTTGCAATGCAGTATCGTTTGCTGATGGGAGCCCAATGTACAAGGCAGATTCGTTTGGTAACGTGCAATTCAGCTGCTGAAACGCACACTCTCTGCTAATGCACAATCAATTCCCATCACGCGACCATTTGTAAGAGCGCTCCCTGTTTCTAGCGTATTCTTTTACAGAACACGACCCAAATCCAATATGCCACCAGTAAAAATAAACTATATCCTCTAACTTTGAAATTGTTTCCATTCTAAAACATTACTTTTCAATTTTGTTTATAATATGTAGCACAATGATAAGCAGGTTACAAACATTTTCAGTGATGTTTCATATGTCGGGTGGAAACAAATTTTTAAGTAACAAGGTTTCTTGAAGGTTTTATTCATTCCCTTATTTCTAATTTTGTCAAATAACGCAGACTCAAATAGCGATGCTTCTGTCAAGAAGTAAAAAAGAACGATACGATATTATGCAGTACGATGTTAGGCCGGTTTTGAAAACATAGTCGCAAAGCATGCCGGTTGCGGATAAGCTTTTAACATCATTTCTAAAACAATGTAAACGATTGGTAGAAACTTTTCTAAATTAATAGAGAAAATCGCACAAGTTCAGTTAGTCAAATTAACATTTAGGAAAAATTTGATCTAGATTTTACTTCGATGTCTTTAACACTATTTTTCTTTCTTTAAAGATTGCCATTTTATTGAAATGTTAAAAAAATGAAAAGTGCCAATGCACTGTATTGCATCGTTGAACACGGTTGTCGAATATTCTCTCACACAATGTATCCTATTGTTTTAAATGATTTATATAAAGCCCATTTAATATTTAGTGATATGACAGCACCACAGGCTGGCTGAAGTGTTATAAAGATGTTTTTCTTTCTTTTAGAGTGATGCTGAAAGTTTTGACGAATCCGATGGAGAAGTTCTTCTCAGATCGGTATTCGAATCATGTGACATGAATAACAATGGCAAAGTCAAAGTATCTACGCTACTTGATCATTTACTCAAAGAGGCAGCTGCAGAGGACAACCCAAAGGTCAGGGTTCACTTTATTTTGATACCTTGAACTACAAACTTTGACCTGAGCCTTGGCCTCTCATGAACTTTGACCTTGAAAGTGGAGATTGCCACCTCTGAAACCTAGAAGGTTGGCAGTAAATTGAATGGCTCGTATGACAAAATAAAGACTTATACGCGGGCAAAAAGACATATATCTCAGGATAAATATAACTCCTCTTCTCAGGATAGATATCAGAAGGGCTACCATCAAATATTTCACAGTCTTTGTAAATGATAGAAGCTTGACATTTTTCAGGCATACATGGTATTTTAAACAGCTTGGTTGTGTGAAAATGGCCTATGATATGCCTAGAAATGTATAAATTATTTATCGATATCCTGAAATATTTTCGGGTTTCTGATTAGGCAGAATCGCAAATCAAAAACATACTAACGTTTGGTTTGGATACTGGATTCGTCTTGCGCATTAAACACCGGTCTAAGTTTCTCAACGGTCTTGATTTATCTCCGGTTTTGTACACCATCGGTACTAACTTGCCCCGGTTGTGCTCTAGCACCGGGAATATGAACTTAGCTTTCAGTAGACCTAAACTGTAGCCTAAGCTATATGATATAAGTAGAGAGATGGCAGGTCTATAGGCATGAAAGTGTATGAACGACCCTCATTTCTTTTGCAAACACGTATACATTATATCATACCTAGTAGGGGTCTACCAAAATAGTCCATTCTTCGTCAATTTCGACACCTCAACATCAAATTTGTAATAACAGGTGTAGAAGAATTTACCTGCAAAATATTAACCCGTTGCCGTAGATATTAAATGATGCAAAGATTATTCGCAGACGTGACGAAGATTTGGGCATATTTCGTTGTGTTAATTCTCAGCTCGATTTTATAAATAAATTATGTAGCAAATTTGAGCACATGCTCTTTTGCTTGAAACTCACGAATCGCAAGGAACATTGTAAGCGAATCGTGGATTAATGCAAGGTTCCTAGCTGCACAAAATCAGCATATCACTATAAAAATTGGCAGGTAGACCCTTTGATCCGCTGTTTTGAATATTTGAGCATATCCTGCAGCTATCTATCATGAAATTTGACATTAAGTAAGTGTTTTTCTTTACATATTTTATGACATACGGCCACGTGCTTTTCTAACAAAAGAATATTTTTAGTATATTTCGTATAAGGGTTCTTAACTTTCCCTCTTTTTAATTATTTTTGATAATACCAAGTATAAAGATTTTTTCTGAGTTTTCAAGTTATATTACACTCTTTTTTTATAAGAACAATTTTATAAGAACACGAGCCTCAAAATTGGTCAAAAGTAAAGAACAAATTAAGAACAGTCAGCCTGAACTTAAATTTACTGGTTCTTATAAAAAAAGAGTGTAATTAAACTTGACGGACGTGGCGATGTTTCTTCGAAGTTTGGCTTTTTTAAGCCTGTGTTTATTACAGAAACATTAATCGTTATGAATGTATTTCTTTCTTGTTCGTGTTAGTTTTAATTTTTTAACACAACGCAGGCAATCAAAGTTGACAATTTCAGGATTAAGTGATTACTAATTACCGGTGAAAAACGCCTAATATTTGTTATAACATAATACACAATACGTTTTTTATTTGAGTCTTTGAAATCGAAAATGAAGAAAACCATGAGGATTTGGCAAACGAATTCTTTCCCTGTCTCTGTCACATCTGGAATCTATTCTTCTGTCACATCTGGAATCATGTACTTGACAAGATCTACCGCCAAGAGCCACGCCGGGGCCCAGAAGCCAGTATTTGCGCCCTTCTTACCCAAAGCAATAATCTTTAAATAGTTTAATATGGATTTAAATTGCAAAAGATTTGACTTGTTTTTCTTTCTTTCAAATTTTCCCAGTAGAAATATGACTTATTTTTCCTAAAATTACCATGCTATTAAAAGTCATTTTAGGACAGTTTGTCATTTCCAGCGGACCTCTGTTTGCTTATAGGCCCCCTTGCCCCCTCTCGTTGGGCCTGTGTACCTAGAGACATTTGCCTTGTGTAGTTAAGAAACCGTATATATTTTTTTGTCTCAATTTTCTTCAATGGAAATTGTAGCGAAAAGCAGCTTCGAATGAATGGTAACTGCTTGATCCTTCAATTGTTTTAATACGTTTTATATTGTTTATTTATTAACTGTTCTGCGTCTAAATGTGGCAAATAATCTAATATCTTTGGTGGGTTATTTGTGGTTAATAGCAACCGTTGGACATTGCCAATAACAGAAAAGATATGATAGCAAAGTACAGGAAATATGATGGCTCATTTCAGAAACAACCACATAAATTCTACTGAAAATAGACGTAAATACACATTTTGTTTATCGACTTGAGTTGCCAACTGGAAGTGTATTACTGTTAAAACTTGATTAGGATACCATATTTCCTCTAATGAACGCCGCACTTTCAGCCAACCATTTGGAAAAACGCCGCAACTTGAAAAGCGGCGTTCATCAGAAAACACACCAAACAAGAAGTAGGGAATCGTTTATACGCTTACTATTCGAAAGCCATGAAAGTTTTTATCTCATAGAGACGAGGACTCTGAAGGAGACAGGGATACTGACAATCCTTGACATTCATTTTATCTTTTTTCATCGCATTTTTCTAGTCATTTTTCATTTGACAAACTTTTCATTTTGTATTGAACACCGCCCTCTGATGAATGCCACCCTCTATTGAACGTCGCATCCAAAATTTTCAGTTTCTAATAAACGCCGCGGCGTTCTTTAGAGGAAGTATGGTATAGGTAAAAGTTTTGGGGACTACAATTGTTCACGGGGATGTATCCTTCCCTATTCTCCTTCATTCTCCTCTGTCTTCCGAGCTCTTCCCCTTCTCCCACTGTCCTCGCAGTTTCTCTCTCTTCCTAATCTGCCCACCCAGTCCTATCCTTTCATCAACAATCCTTTCCTTTTTATCTTCCTTTCTCCCATCATTCTCTTCTTCCCTCGGCTTTTCAGCTCGCTTTGTCCTCACCAGCCCTTCCAGTGAAGCCACCCCTGTGCACCTCTCTGTGATTCTGTTGAATAGAATATCCTATGCTTAATCGCTTAGAGATATTGACGTAACAGTAACACCCGTTTTAGATACTCGGTTACCTTGATGAGTTGGCAGTCATCTTAGACCCGTCAGGAAAGGACATTACCGTTGACAAGGAGATGTACAACACTGGAATTCGCCGTTGGATCCACAATGTTCAGTCTAGAAGGTTACGTTCATTTGTTTCATATTCGTAAGAAGCCCAAACTTGCAAGATAAGCGGGCTTTGCAGTAAGTTTAGATTAAGTTTCCTCGAGTTGTGTCTTTGTCTCTAGGTTCTAGTATCAGCTAAAAATACCAATAGATCTTAAAAACAAATTGTCTCTTGATATTATATAATGCTGTCGAACCGGTG